GCACATGCGCGCTCACGACGCTACGGAAGCCGGCAGACCAAGCCAGATGAAAGTGCGCATTCAGCAAGCATGCAAGCGTAGAAGAAGAAATGTGCTGTTTACCTGTGCAAAGAAAGAAACAACGAAAGAAAAATATCTGAGGACTTCAGTGTTGAGGAAGAGCACGAGTTCTTTGCCGAGCTGAATGCGCTGGTTTGGTCTGCCGGCTTCCGTAGCGTCGTGAGCACGCATGTGCGCGCTTTCAGGAAATCCTATACACTACTGTTTATGCTCTAAAAACATTCTAAATGACTTCGTTTCGAGTAAATTCTGGATGCTACCCACTCAGGACACTTGGAATACATTGGACGAGCAGTATGGAGGAATATTGACACGTTTTTTGTGGACTTTTATGGACCTTTCTGTCTCGGTGACCATAGACCTCCATTATTTGAATGTCAGCAGACAGCAAGAAGCCTCCCAGATCTCCAGATGCATTTGAGATATCAAAAAAGTACTCCAGAGTGTTGTTCAGCATGGGGGTGAGTAGAAAATGAAGGCTAATCATGTTTTGGGTGTACTATTCCTTTAAGAGTTCTCTACTTCTCTACAGAGAATTGTGGCCTACAACTGTTCAAGGTGAAATCAACATCCAAGGCCATTGCAGAGACAGAGAATATAGAAGTTCCTTAATTTTCCATAATATTTCCCCCCAAAAAAATCACAGTCCAAGAGAAAATCTAAAAGTGTAATATAATATAACATAATATTACATAGTAAAAGCAAAAAGCATAGAACAACACAGTACTGCCCCTTTACAAGCTGATTTTACAAGCTGTCAGCTTACTGTCCTTTAAATAAAAAAAGAACAATCCTGAAACCCTTCAGTAAGGTAATAAAAATGCATGTCATTTTGTACACCATTAAAAATACATGATTCTTACGTATTTTTTCACTCCTGGTTAATCAGCCTAAAGGCTATCCGTTTTAAAATTCTCAGCACATAGTTTGTATTTCTGAGCTACAGAGAAGAGAATTCTCACAATTAAATTTAACCTCTAAAAGACCTGCCTCTAAAAAACTCTGGACTTGATTCAGACTGCATGTGCAAGAGCATGCATTAGCCCATTTCTCCTCATGCACGCTCTGTTTAAAAGTTGCTGTTCTCATTGCTCATGCAAGTGTACTGTGTCCAAACGTCCGCTCTAACCCCGAAATCCCTCAATCACTATACAGAGCAAGGACTTTATGGTGAACTCAGCCAACTTAGCGTTTGGAAAGATGATCACTTTTCTATTGGTCCACTGCACGTTGCCTGTGCCATCTTTGTTATTAGTCAAATCCCATAATGCTTTGCAAGGAGAGCTCTCTGCGCAAAGCATTCAGTGATATATTTACCTCTTCTGAGGCCTTTCTTTTCTTCTTATACACTTTGCAGACACTTTTTCTCTTACGACCCTCTGCCATTTTCTAAGAACTGCAGTAAGAAAGGTAAGCTTCAATAACTGTGTGAACCCATAGCACACCACAGATATTCGGCTGAAAGTGCACATGCGCAGAAAAAGATAGCTAGTGGGACGAGCACATAGGACAGCGTTATGTAAACATATCACCAGAATGATTGACAATTAGGGGACCTATTATTTAGATGATACACCCGGAACTAAAAGATCGTCCTCTATACCTTTAAGCACTAAGGCAGCATGAAGAAAAAGGGACAGATGCCTTACATGAAATTGATAAAAGTTGTGTCAAATTCATTTAAAACATCTAAATCAAAGTTTCCTGTGTAGAAATGAGAAATCTGTGCTATATTGTTTGCATGAGTGGAAAATCTTTTAGTAAGTGTTGTAGAGTGGAAGCGAAATAAGCTGCAAATCAAAAGTGGCAGCATAACTGTGGAGGTCATTTCTAGTCAGGCTTCAAATATCTAAGCCCATTACATATCCCCAGGAATTATAGCAGTAATCAGTGTTCTGAAAAAGTAAATTCCTAAAACAACCACAAGGAGGCCTATGGGGCTCATATAGTCAGAGCAACCAACTAAGATCATATTCTAGGCTGTGTTTGATTGACATGTGATATTAACAGTATGGATCTAAAGCAAGTTTCTTTCACATTTCTGCATTTGAGAAAAATTCTCACAAAGAAATGCGTTTATTAAATTACTAAATTATTATTGTAATTTTTTTGCAAAGTAAACCTAACTTGTGCTTGTTATCATTTTTGTTGTGGTCACTTTAGCACCTTAGCTGTAAGTACTTTTGCATTTTGGGACATTTTATTCGATTGGGAATGTTTTACATCTGATTTGGAAGAAATACTTTAGGCTATTTTTGGAGATCACTCAAGATCAACTGTGAGGAGATGTTATATGTATAAATTATCTACTAGATGGATAGTAATGGGCTCTCTAATTAATTAAATTTAGTGCAAACTGTGTTAATGAAATAAATAACAATAGCAGGTGCAAAATGGTTTAACTACCTCTATACAGATTTTTTTCTAAACCACTGGTCAAAACTGTGAAGCTAGAGGTATCAGGGGGTAACAAATTTAGAATGATTCAAAAATGCAAACATTGTTTAATCTCCTGACTTTTTAGGAATAAACTGAACAATAAACTACATACAACTGATAGAGTCATTGCAGGTAGTAAAAAGTTTTAACAAATCATCAATTTTAAGATGTTTTTTAATGTATTGATACCAATATTGAATTTCAAATAAAACAAATAGTTAAACTGAAAATAATTACATTTGAATGCGGGTAGTTTGTGATTTGAAGGATATCGTTATGTCCTTGCAATATGTAATTTATTTTAGTGGATTTTTCTTTGTTTAACTGTTGTGGTGAGAAAACATTCTTACTGTATCCAAAGGGGGGGCCACCAGGTAAAGCTCAAAGGCTAATCGAGGACAGCTGCAATGTGTAGAAGAGAAAATTTTAAATGTGGGGTAATTACAGCATAATTTGTGCACTTCATAAAACATGAAAATATGCCATGAAAATACTAAAACAAAATCAACAACATGCTTTTTTTTAGGTGGAGTTGAGAGGGTGAAATCAATGTGAGGTCATGATTCTGATGTGTTGGTGTGAGTCACTGATCTTTATTTATTAACTGGATTGCTGATAGGCCGTTTGTAGTACCGGGGGGGAGTGAAGCCACCGGCCGCCATGTTGGTACTCCCAAGTTAGACCGGTCGCAATGTAAACAAATACGTGTGCTACAGCATCAAACAACAATGATTTTCAAATTTTCAGGGGGCTTTTAAATTAAAGATAAATTTGTCAATTTGAAACACACTTGCTTTTTCATAGCATCAGTAGATGCTAGAATTTATGATAAAAAAAATAGGCACATCACATTTCCTAGTCAGTATAAATTCTATGACTTCTATAAATCATGTAATATAATATATATATTATACAAATCCATCACAACAAAATGAATGTCTTAATGGAGCATAATAATACTGATGTGCCAAAAGGGATAAATTGATTATGTACATGTACTGTAATATACATGTATAGTTTACATTGTTTGATAAATACATATTACATATAATTTCAAGATTTAACTTCATGATTGAATTACAAGTACATGTCCGTTAATCCCGCAACATATCTATGACATAGATAGATAGATATATAGATGACGTTTCAGGAGGAATGTGCCAAAAACAGCAAACGTTGTGATATTCCAACCAAATCTTTCTGCGTAACAGCCGATTCTAACAAATAATAACCAAAATAATGTAAACTAAAAACAATTTTAAGAAGCTACAAAAAGATCTAAGAAAGAAGAACAACAGGGGAACTAAAGAACCTCTGATAATATTCAGCTACCTGATCAAATACCTGATTGTGATGTGTAATAGCGAATAAGAGAAAGTTACAAGTCTTCATTCAAAGTGGATGGCTTGAACTAGACCAATTCAATAAATAAGAACATTATTGAAAAATTCTTTCATTTTAGTAACTTAATTTACGGTACTAAGTGAAATGCCTATCTATTAAACACACACACTGATGTTTTCACAGCTTTATTTCTGGTACTTATGATGGTTTCCTGCTTACAGCTGAAGAAAACAATGCATTTTAAGACTAGAATATTACATTAGATTGATAAAGAAAACCATTTTGATGTAGAAATAATGCAAAGTGTTTAATATCTGCTTAAAGGTTATTTTAAAAGTTACTATTAATTTGACAAACAAGTGTCATAAGAACATGTAATCTATCATTGACTATATGTCATTTTTGAGCTTTTCTAAGAAAGATCACAGCAGGTCAAGGAAAGAGGTGAACTGTAGTTTGAATTGGTTTTTACATTTATGAGCTCTTTATGCTGGTGGTAACACAGCAGTGAATTTCTTTAATCTAAATATGACTCCTGTCATTCTGTTGTTGGTGCGATGGTGCTGCCTGCAGGTCAGATGGAACACAACACCCACTGTTGACTTGAAATAGTAAACATATATGGCTTTCTAGGAAAAGCAACGCCTTTCTATCCAGCTGCTTATCTATGACAACCTGCCAACGTAGTAGTGGCAGCATCACGGTTTTCATAGCAGGAAAGATGTATGAAGGTAAAAGAAGGCAAGAAAACCAGTGAGATTAAATAAAAAATAAAATAAAATGTGACCGAAGCTGAACTATTTTGAAAGAGGCTGAACTATTTTGAAAGATAAAGTGCAATTTAAATCCCATGTGTAGCCGATGCAAACAGAACAAAAACTAAAGCTGATTTAGCTAAATATTGACAAAGTGGGCGGATTACAAATGCATGGAAACGTTTCTAAATTTTTATTTTTCTCTCTTTGAATCAATTTTTTCTTCCACTTCACTATACGCAATAAAAACCCAAGTAAAAAAAAAATCTGTCGATATTGTGTGCTATCTTTTGTTATATCCCCTTTCTTATCTTTATAAGCTCTAATTCAAATGAAAACAGATTATTGTGATTGGACGCCTGCTGACATGTGATATGTATTGCTAACTTATTACCTGGAAGAGGCAACTTCTCCACACCTGGAAGTCCTGCAAGTTCACCGTGAAGGTCAGGCAGACTCCTGTTCCTCGACGAAGATCATCTGTTTAAAGTTTCTACGGCTGCTCAATGATTTAATCGTCTCTTAAAAGATGATACCAAGAAGGAATTTTGTATTGCTAAAGATAATTCTTCTAATTACAGGTAGGTTTATGTTTGTTTTTTCCCTTTTTGTGTTTTTCTTAATAGCCCCTGCCACACCTTTATGAGTGTCACTGTTAATCATTGACTCACTTGCAGGCTACTCAATTTGAGGAAGGAGTATTGTGACATTCTGAATAAAATTATATTTCAAATGTAACAAGATTTATCTGCCTCTTAGTATGATAGAAAAGTAGGAATTGAGTGATTTGAAAGAATATTGATTGTAAGTATTTTCTTCTGTTTTCTAGTTTTTACTTACTGCTCGGGGTTGAAAGTGTCAATCCCAGAAAAGGAATATAAGGTCCGCAAAGGAGAGGATGTTACACTGACCTGTTCCTTCGTGCCGGCTAGGCCCATCGAAAACAACTTTGTTCTGGTATGGGACGTTATTGGTACCCCATCGGTAAGATGTAAAAGATGGCCCCATGTGCCAAACGTAAAGCAGTGATGTTGTGTTCGCTGTTTGTGGTACGGTGTGTGAACTCAGAGGCTTTTCACTGTGTAAACAAGTCTAATATAGACCTGTAAACTTTAAAAAGAACATTTTTATGCACAGTATCCATAACACTTGTCCAACTATTTGTAAAGTTACAACCCACTCTTCAATGCATATTTATAAGGATTTTCTCTGACCAACACAAATCGGTCGATACTTGAAATGATCAGAAAATTATACATGGTTGGTGATATTTCTTTTCAGAATAAAAAACTTTAAACATTTACTGACAATTTATAATCAACCCCATTACTCTAATAGCCTTAAATATTATTTATTTCCCCTCCAAGTTTGCTCTATGGACAAAGAAAGCCCACCTGTACCTAAATTGGAGAATAAATCTATTTTCTCTGTGAATGGCTGATATGTTAGAGAACATTAGTGAGCATACAGCAACATACAGCCCTCAGAGTGTCAAAAGTAAGATTATGAAGCAGCATTAATCAGAACCTCTACAATATCATGGTTTTATTCAGTTTATCAACTAAATGTCTGGACTTCTAACCTGGTTGACCAAGCAAAGAGAACATTATTCAGAGAAATCAAAGCTAAACACATAAAAGACACTGCCTGTGACACTGTTTGCGGCAAACTCTCAATACTCCAAGTACATTTCTTCAAAACACATAGATTCTGGCTAAGTTACTCATCAACAGACCTCTGGACTCACAGTATTGAGTTATAATGTGAGAATATGAACTGGAAATCCCAAGAGCATGCATTAGGATTACTTATTAAAACCTGATGGTCTGTGAGTGAACATTAAAAGATGCTTGCTGAGGGAAATCAAATTTCTGAAATTCTGCAGGAAATCTATTGGAAATTTAACTTTTTTTTTATCGAAACATGTGTAACATTTCTGACATAATTTTACCGTTTCATTTTGTATTTTCTAAAAAACTATATGTTTGGAGAAAAAAAAATCTTTGCAAATGTCTCTTGATTTCTATCTGACTCGTCACATCGTTATTAAATTGCTGCATAGGTCTGACCATACCCCCCTGTATCTTGGTCGGACAGTTGAAAGCGAATAGTGATGGTCTGCGCAGCCCTATTCATTTCAACATGTTTTTAAAGCTACGGATAACATTCTACCTTTTATGTGCCCCCTTATCTGACAAATAGGATGAAGGGTCTTTTTAGGGGATAACTCTGGATGAGTTGCAAAGATCCATGACTCAGGTGCAAGAATCGAACAAAGCTGCTCACAAGACAGCTATTAGTTATACACTTTACAAATCTGGCCTTTATTGTAGAGTGGCAGGAAAAAAGAAATCCTGGTTGGATGGAACAGTCCTGTTTGTAGTTTACTACGACTACTATAGACATAATATACATGTGAAAGCAGGTACTCTGCTCAGATGAAACAATGATGAAACCACCATTACCGTAGTAAAATATGGTGGTAGCAACACCATACCGTGGAGATGCTTTGCTTTAAAATGGAAATGGTTTAGAGTCCATGATTTATATACCAGGGTTTTCTGGGAAAACATATGCCAGCTGAACATGACCCTGAGTGTGTGAGGATGCACTCTATACACTGTATATAACCCAATGCACCTTTTCTTATTTTGATACCTGCTTCTTCTTCTTGACAATTTGAGCAGATGTAACAATCAATAAACCTTGGATCAAAATACAATACATTTGTTAGAGTTGCCCAGTCAAACTCCAGGCATAAAAAAATATATTTTCCAGTAATCTGATCCAGTCATTTCTATTTTTCTTGACATCACAGCAACACAGTTACAGAAATCCAGTGACTTCAGTTTTATGTTTCCCGCTAGTGATAATTTATATCTGTGTTAATTGTCACCTTATTTTGAACAATTATGTCAAGCACGATGCCTTTACTCACATGTAAAGATGTATGGTTAATTAACGGATCGCTATCTGATTTTGGCTGATGGGCTTAGCCTATATGTTGGATTGGATTGGATCAAAGTGCAAAATACTTCCGCTTTCACTTCACAATCATGTGCAGCTTTGTTTCAGTCTACCACATCAAATCTGATTAAATCCAACAATGAAGTTTGTGGTGCAAATAATGAGAAATGAGTGAACGTTTTTGTAAAAGGCATCATTCTACTTTTTAAGTTTAATTTCAACTCTAAGCCAAAAGCTCTCCCAATTAAAAATTCTAGCAATTAAATAAATTCTTGTTTAGCACTTTTTAAAGAAATTTATTAGCTTTAATGAACTATAACGTCAATGCAATGAGAGAAATGAATCAAATGATCAGTGCTTTTATTGATTGTTTTTATGAGGTTCTTGTAACGGTAATGAACTCTGTCAAGGCGATGATGAATGAGGGAATCCCTCAGAACTGCAGTATGCATAAAACTCAGTGCTGCTTGAACGGAGATGTTCCCATTAAATATCTTACCTACATGGGTACACTTTTGCTTTATAAATTGGTTGGGATAGAATCAAATAAAATACAATACTTTTACCAGCAGTAGAAATTCGCCAACATCAAAATTTAAAAGACTTGTTCTTAATAAGTCAAAAAATATGTCATAACTGTGATGTCATAATCACTTGAAACTTTATTTATTATCTTTAACTGTATATTCTTCTTTCCTTTCACCAGAAAGCTGTGGCCGCCTTCTTTAAGAATAGTCCCGTTGACATTGCTCCGGCTTATGAAGGAAGAGCCTCCCTGGAGGTTGACCTTGAAGGGGGAGTATCGACGCTCCAGTTAACAAAGGTGACCATGGAAGACAGCCGCCTGTACCAGTGCAGCGTCAGAATCCCTAATGATGACGAAGGGACACCAATTGCTTCTACTTCTGTTTTAGTCCTTGGTGAGACTTAACACAAAGTCTGTCTGTCTAAATGAATATGATATAAATACATAATATATGCGTCCATGGAAATTTTAAGAAAAACATAGATTAATGTATTTTCTTTTTTGTAATTTTGGGGGTGGGCATATCCCCTGCACTTTTTCAAACGTCCATTTTGGTCCCCAATGTTTTACTGTCCAAAAAAAATGTTGTTTGATTGGCCCACTGTCTTTTCTTGTGAGATTGGCTGTCACCACTGTCACTCCTGAGAAGCTCACTTTACAAACATCTGATGCCCCAACCCCCACCCCACACACACACACACACACACACACACACACACACACACACACACACACACACACACACACACACACACACCCACACACACACTTCTGAAAGCAAAATTTCGTCCATTTGGCGTAAAGAAAAAGCAGACTACCTTTGTAATCAAACAATAACTTTATTTCAGTGTCTCTATTTCAGCACTGAACATCTTTTAGTAATTACACTAAAACAAATGTTTGTCACATCAAATATGTCTCAGGTGGTAACCAAATCCTACTAGTCCTCCTCAGAGTTTAGGAGGCATTTTAATGTCCTATTAAACCTTAAAACAAAGGATTACTTGCATTCTTCATATAATAATGTCAAAATGTTCTTTCTTCCTTTAAATGTAAAGGGTGATGTGGGCGCATCACTTGAAATACCCGGCACCCTTTCCATCCAAGCTGCCACACTACCGGAGAGAAATTTGTTCCAATATTGTTCAAATAAATAAATAAAAAAAAGGAATCTTACAATATTACCTATTTTCGTTTGTTTTAATCTAAAAGATGGAAATTAAATATTTATGCTACTTTCAATCAAATAATATCTCAATTCCAAGATGATTAGTTTGATAAATTATTTATATCTTTTATATATAATATAGTGTTCTGTTTTAGGGTTTATGGGTCTTTAATCTTTTTTTTTTTTATTTACTCTGTAATGATCAGTCATTTTCTCTAGATGTAATTACTCAACCATATTTTGACTCCAGATAGCCTCTCACATTTTCCTGTCCTCAGTCGCATATTATCACCCTTGGGTGCCCTGCAAAAATATTCATATCAATTGAGCTTTTTATACATTTTAACATTGCACTTTCATGGAGTAATTGTGAAGTGATACACAGTTCTCAGAAATGGTAGCATTGTCACTGGGGATGTATTTTTATTAGACTTTGTTTTACAGAAGAGACAGAGAGAATGATCAGAGTGGATGCATGGATGAATGCAGCTATAGTCCAGACCTGGAAAAAAACTGGTTAGAAGCCTTAAAAGCCTTGAGTTTAGGTTGGAAGTTTATCTTCCTGAATAACAACTGTCTTATAGATAGGGATAAAATTAGAAAAGATTTTTCCTCCCAAAGTGAAAGAAAAAATGCATTGTGCAGTATAAAATGTAAAAGATTTGAAATCTAAACCATTTACCAAAATAAATGGGCTTCTTCTTTATATGCTGTAGTTAGAAAATATGATTAGGAATAATGTCTATAGCAATTATTCATTCTATTAACACCTGGGATGGAGAATCAATTAAAAACTTTATTGCACTTTATGTTTAAATCAAGTTAACTTCTATTTCAGAACCTCCCTCTAAACCAATATGCACGCTCCAGGGAAAAGCAGAGTATTACAGTGACATCACACTTACCTGCAAATCTGAGGAGGGTTCTCCAGCTCCGACCTATCAGTGGACAAGCTACAGTGTTGACAACATTCAAAGACAATTTCCACCAAAGACAACAGAGAGTACGTATTTAAAGCAACCATAACTTAACATGTTCATTTATCAAGTCGGCTGGGCTACTATACTCTGCATGTCCCTACTTTGTTTGATATAATTATTTTTTTTGTTTTTGTTTTTTTCTTTACAGAGGATGGAGTTTTGTCTCTCTTTAATATCACAAGAGAGACGTCTGGATTCTTTATTTGCATTTCACAAAACAACATTGGCTCGGCCAGCTGCAACTTTACCTTAGCTGTGATGCCTCGTAAGTATTTCAACATATTTCAATTAAAAATCTAATGTATATAGTCTGAGATTAGTGTTTCCAACAATTACACTTTTATCAAATGTTCCAGAGTGATGATGGCAAGAGAAACGGTTTCCATATTTTTCACAAATAAGATTCTAAAAAAGTGTGCATTCGCCTTCAGGCCATTTTACTAAAAAAATCAATTTAATCCAATTAAGGCTTTTTAGAATATTTTAATATTTAATCACAACACAGGTAATCTCAAGGCACTTTACTCAGGCTAACCTGGGTCACTCTAGTATAAGCAGTAGTGGTTCTAGACCATACCTAGGAGGAAGGCCAGGGTGGTGCCCGCGTGTTTTCATGTGGGCAGAGAAAAGCATGAAAGGAAAACAGGGCAATACTTAATCAGTTGAAATATCTTAAGAGAGATGCAGAACCAAAGAACTACCTGTAAATCAGCACTTAATGAAGTAAAACATCCATGTCATTCAGTTTAATCAAAACAGAAAAAATCCCTTACTTCTGAAAAAAAGCAACTGAAATAATTAGTCGGCAAACAAATAACTACTAAACATACAATAAAGCTATTCTTAGCGACATTAGATAACTTTACATATTTTTGAGTTATCTGAAATTAAAAAGATTAGTTTTATCGTATTTAGAACTTAAGTAAAACTGATTAATTAATCAGTAACAAATTAGAGTCGTTATTTTTTATTTGGTTTAAAATAACATTAGCAGATGAAAACTGTGACCCTATCTCATTATAAATAAGTTGTTATAAGTCATTATAAGTTGTCATTTTAAAATTAGAATTAAAAGCATAACTGTATAGACATAATTAAATTGATCTGTCTGTTTACGCACATATCATCTTTAGAATTTATTTTGATGTTATTTATTCAGTACATTGGCCCCTGTATGGAACCACCCATGTCTGTAAGCTGTATAATAAGGAGCTAACCTAATCATAAAAGTAGACCAAGAGTGGAGAACAACAACTTCAATGATTTTTTGCATTATCCATATTTCTATCACGGTTTATCAGGATGGGTGCTGATGCCCATCTCCAGCTGTTTACGGGCGAGGGTTAGAGTACACCCTGGATAGGTCACCAGTCTATTGGAAAGACCCGGGGCTGGGAATCGAACCCAAAACCTTCTTGCTGCAATGCTGCAGTGCTACCACTGCGTAACTGAGCAGCGGATTATTTGTATTTCTGATGTCTGGCTACCATTTGTTTGTCCCTAGAGCCAATAATCTTCTAATTCATGAAGTTTAAATGATCTAAAAAGAGTTTCCACTGTGGTCTTGATACTGAATCTCACTCCTCTTTTTCCCATCAGATCATTACACTCTTATTAAATGTATTCACTTTAAATATTGCTACAACTAAAGTTGTCTGCTATGGTTGTTCTACCTATGTATTTTTCCTGTCCCAATATTATGTGAAAAGAAGATACATCTGTCATATCTTTTGCATATGAATTTTGTATTTTTTTTTTTCCAGCAAGTATGGGTATGGGGTCTACTGCAATAATAATAGGAATAGCAGTAGTTCTTGGTGCTCTTCTGCTTCTGGGGATTATCATTTTCTGTTACCGAAAGAGAAAGAGTAAAAAAGAAGCTACTGTGGAGGGGTATGTAATGTTTACTTACATTTAAGTTTTAAAACAGTACATAAAAAAAAAAAAAAAAGTCATGTAATTGTTTACAATATCCTTGCTGTCTTTGTTTTTAGTGCGCATGGGGATAAGGTGTTTTATGACAAAGAAGGTTCTGAAGTCGGAGAGCCATACTTGGATGACAAGTCCACTGGAAAAAAGCTGCCTAGTCAGTATGAAGACAGCGATATAGCTTCTGAAAGAAATTATGTGAAGCATGATGGAAAAGGTAGTGATACAGATTCCCACCGTTACCATGGTGAAAAGAAGGATTACTCTCGTGGAAGCAGGGATAACCTGGACAATGAGCGGGATCGCTATGGAAGCCGGGATCGCCTTGATGACCGACGTGATCACCACAGAAACCAGGATCCTGATGATCAACGCAATCGGTATGGAAGTAGGGATCGTCTTGATGACCAACGTGATCGTTACGGGAGCCGGGATCGTCTTGATGATCAACATGATCGTTACAGAAGTCAGGATCGTAATGACCATCGCGATCACTATGGCAGTCGAGATCGCCTTGATGATCAGCGCGGTCGCTATGGTAGTAGAGATCGGCTTGACGATTACCACGATCAGTACAGCGGTGGTAGAGATGTGTATCATGGTAGCCGTGATCGCATTGATTACCGTGACGATTAATGCTGAAACATAAATATGTTGAATTCCTGGAATACTATAAAAAAAGATCTTTCTTTCACATCTATCTTTCTATGTATAATTCCTCTGAGACAATTCTCTGAGGAAGACTCAAATTAAAAGTATGCATTAGCAGAGGCAATCTACCTTTCTACATTTCATTCCCATTTTATGTCATTTTTATCGATCCCATGTAGAAGAATGGATCCTGGGGTTAAAGAATGTCTTGATGTCAAGTTGTTTTCTGTGTTCGTAAACCTTGCAAAAGATACTCTCCAGATAATGGACATCAATAGACATTTTTATTGTTATTGCCCTTTATAGCATGAAACCACTCTTTGAAATAAAGGGACCTTTTTTGGCTATTTCTCCAATCGCCAGGATGATACTTTGAAGGATGGATTTATGTTTAGATTGGCCTTTAGTATGTCCAGCTTTATGATGAACAATGCCCCAACAACCCCAGCAACTTTTAGGAAGCAATGGACATTTTTATGCATACATATTTTCCGCACTCAAGCAAATATATTCAAATGAATAAAAATGTTACCTTCTGTTGGTCTTTCAATGTAGTTTTGCTTGGTGGGTTGTTGCCGGTCGACAAGGCCAAATAAATAGCTATTTAACCATTAAAAATAGGTGACTGGCTTGGGTTACCAGTATTTGTCACATACTGGTTGGCTCTGCATTTGGAACCCATACCCTTTTTACCCATATTTGTGCAGAACATGATGAAATGACATAAAGGGAGATGTCATCTATGGATCCTTTTGTGGTGAGGGCGTGTTTTTAGTTTTGACTTACCAATGATTTATTTTTTTTATTTTTTAATAATGTATCAGTGTTGCACATACACTGAAATCTGCTGTGTGTTAATTTTGGTTAATTTATTTTTTATTTACTTTTTTGTTTTCAAAATCATGCCTCTTTCATATTAATATGGGAAACAAAATACTGATTTTATTGTTGGTCTGTAGCAAGGGCAGTTCTAGACAGGGGGCCAACAGAAGCTAGTACCCCAGATCCTGTTGTGGCTCCTGTCCTGAAGGCATAATACTAAAAAAAAAAAATTCTAAAGATGATATGCGATGGAGCAGACATAATTATTGATGCTCCCTTGGACTCATTTGCTAAATGTTATTTTTTTTAAACCAAAAACAAAACAAAACAAAAAAAAAAACTATAATTGGACAAAGCTGAATTTTTGGTCTGTATACTTGTGATTTTCCTTTAAAAAAAGTCCTACATATGTAATACTCAAAATGAATGCACATTAACCTAATATTACAAAAAGCTTTATTTTATTTTTCAGTAGATATTTATTTGGCAAATAATTATTTCAGTTGCTTTTGGTTCCATGATTAGCGATTTCTCTTTTATATATTAGACAAATAAAGTTAATATGTTCAAACCAAAACAATTTTTTTTTTCAATAACTACATAAAATTTTAATGAAACTAAATGACATGGACATTTCAGTTAAAGCCGAGCCACAAGTACCGTAGATCTTTGGTTCTTTAGCTTTAATAAATATTTTAAATGATTGCCCTGTTTTTCACGCTACCCTGCCCCCCTAATACATTTGGTCTAGAACTGCCACTGGTCTACAGAAATCCAAGTTAAGTAATACATAATTTGTAACGGATTCATTTTTCTTTTTCTCTTTCTTCTTGTCTGTGTTTTTTTTTTTTCTTTGATGTTATTTTTTATTTTATTTTTTCAAGACAGTCTGTAGCAGTCAGATAAATGGGCTGCATTTTGTATGGAAAATAATAAATTAACCCAAAGGCTCTGGGATAATTCACTCGTGTGTTGCAAAACTTTTTTTTTTTTTTTTAACCACATAGCATAATAAGGCGCTGCCTTATGCTGGACCAAGTGTCCCATATTTAAAAATAAATACAGAAATAAATAAATGGTCATTAAATAAATAGGCATGCAACTAATTGCCCTCCAAATACAACAAATAAATTAAATTATACAGTGAGACATAAATGTATATATCTCTTTTAATCAGCTTCTTTATTTATTTGCCTTTGTTATAGTTAACTTATATAATATATGTGTGTCGCCATTGAGGCGATTTATATACAGACTTTTATGATGAAAAGTTGAGAAAGAATAGGACCTTTTATTTTGACACTGTTTCCTGTAGTTTCCTTACTACTTCCTGCATTGTATTCAGTTACTCCACATTCGGTTTCTATCTGCTGAAAATGGAAAAGAATTCCTGACTGTGAACGATGCTAGAAGCAAAGTCGTAAGTAAAAGTCATTGTTATGTTAAATAATTGATAGTTTAAGTTAAGTTTATAGTAGAAAGAAAATGTAATAAATAGGTTAAAAAGATTGTTTTTATTCATGTGTTTAGATAGGTTAATTCATCAGACTTTATGTGAAGCTAAACTTAAAATTAAAAATAGTTGAACTTTGTTTTGTTACAGTTTTCACTCTGCTATGTAATGCTGGATTCTTCAAGTAAACAACAGTGGAACGTTAACTACAGAGCAGTCTCCTGGTTATTGCATCAGAGTTTAACTTGTTGGATAACTTCAGTTAATACACTGCAGTGAGGACAACATAGTGAAAAGACTGAGAAGTTAGCACTGAACATCGAGTCAGGATGGAAACTAGATCTAATAAATCAAGCAAAGTTGGAAGCAGCTGTCATTCTTCTACCTCATCAACCAATGCTTTACTTCGCGCACGAGCAAAGGCAGCAGCTGCTAAAGTGCGTGCCGAGTATGCTGAGCAAGAAGCCAAAGCTAAGATAGAAAAAGTTAAAAAAGAGACTGAAATTGAAACACTAGCCATATGCCGTGAAGCAGCAGAAGCTGAAGCCGTAGCAGCTGTCTGGGAGTCAGCAGTTACAGGGAGCAACAATTATATTGTGCTGGATGAAACAAACTTAATAGAACAAAGCAAACATGAACGAACGAGTGAATACATCCAAACTCACTTCCAGTCCACTAACCCTGTTCAACAAACAGCCATGAAGGCTAGTCCACCCCCAACGCAGCCAATTGCCACTCTCAGTTACAGCCCGAACAACCCCTTTGTTTCACACCATCAGCCGCAGGTGTTTTCACACAACAGCAGAAACAATGTGGAATTTACAGACTATGACTTGGACTATGCACCACCAGCAGCCAAACAGTCAGTCAGCCAGAATCCATTTTTCAGAGAAAGGCCCAGGGTTATTTCCGAGAGTGTCATCTCGCAGATCAGTGAATTAAATGTCGGGGCTCCATCTTTCCACCCCCAGTAGACCAATACTCAAAGTATGCCTGCAACTGAACACCTGGCACAATATTTAGCTCGACGTGACCTAGTGAATACAAGTTTGTATGAGTTTGATGATAAACCTGAAAATTATCGTGCTTGGCTCTCATCATACAAAAATGCCACCCAAGGACTTGGTCTCACAGCCACTGAAGAATTGGATTTGATGACACGATGGCTTGGCAAAGAATCCAGCAACCAGGTGAAACGCCTCCGTGCAGTGCACATAGCAAGCCCACAAATAGCCCTAGTGAAAGCTTGGGAACGTCTTCAAGAGTGTTATGCAGCCCCAGAGGTGATTGAAAAGGCCCTCTTCACCCGACTGGATGCATTTCCCAGAGTCTCAGCCAAGGAAAATTTGAAGCTACGAGAGTTGGCTGACCTGCTTATGGAAGTGCAGTGTGCTAAGGAAGATGGCTACTTACCAGGCCTGTCCTACCTGGACACAACACGAGGAATTGAGCCTATAGTGACCAAATTGCCTCATGGACTCCAGGAAAGATGGATCTCGGTCGGTTCTAAGTACAAAGAAGAAAATAGAGGACGGTTCCCACCGTTCGATTACTTCACGAAATTCATATGTTATGAGGCCAAGAAAAGAAATGACCCCAGCTTTACCCTTTCAAATGTTACTACAACATTACCTGTCAGGACTGAAAGTGCCTTTCCTAAAACCATCCAGAAACCCATTGCAGTTCATAAGATCAATGTCACTCCTACAGGAACAAATGTCTTCAGTGATCTGAGTAAGATCTGCCCAATACATGCAAAACCCCACCCACTTAAGAAGTGCAAAGCCTTCAGAGCTGAAACTCTGGATGACAGAAAGGTATTTCTGAAAGAAAACGGAATCTGCTTTAAGTGTTGTAGCTCAACCAACCATATGGCAAAGGACTGCACTACAACTGTGAAGTGCTTTGAGTGTGACAGCAACCAACATGTCTCAGCTATGCACCCGGGACCAGCATCTCAACCTATGACTCCTCTGACCTTGCCACAGCATGGCGGGGAGGGTGAAGAGGTAAACAACACTCGTGACATTAGCTCAAGCTGCACAACAGTATGCGGCACAGGACAAGCTGGAAGGTCATGTTCCAAAATATGCCTGGCAAGAGTGTACCAGAAAGACCACCCAGACAAAGCCATTAAGGCCTACATCGTATTAGACGACCAAAGTAACCGGTCGTTGGCCAAGTCCAGTTTCTTTGACAAGTTTGACATTCACTCTAAGCCATATCCTTACCAGCTGAAAACATGTTCTGGGCTAGTGGAAACTTCTGGCAGAAGGGCATCAGAATTTATTGTGGAGTCTCTGGATGGGAAAGTTACAATTCCCTTACCACCACTCACTGAGTGTAATGACTTACCTGATAACAGGTCCGAAATTCCCACACCAAGTGCTGCTCTTCATCAACCTCACCTGTCAAAGGTAGCAGAACACATCCCAGAGCTGGACCCCACAGCGGAGATCCTCCTGCTACTAGGGAGAGACGCAATCAGAGCACACAAAGTACGGGAACAAATAAATGGCCCCGCCAATGCGCCCTTTGGGCAACGCCTTGACTTGGGCTGGGTGCTGGTCGGAGAAGTCTGTCTAGGGAACACACACAAGCCAAATGTCAGTTCCTTCCGGACGACCATGGTTGACTGTCATCGGCCCTCACTCTTCCAGTCATGCACAAGCCTTTTGCACTTTAAAGAGGAACTTCAAGACAGACTGCCTAGAAATGGTGCATTACCACCCAGAGCTAAGGAATACAGTCTGGGTCAAAATGTGTTCAACCGCACCAAACAGGATAATAAGCTAGCACTTTCAATTGAAGATGAAACTTTCTTAAAAATGATGGACAAAGAAGTCTACAGAGACAATTCACACAGCTGGGTTGCTCCATTGCCGTTCAGACAACCAAGGCAACAGCTTCCCAACAACCGCGAGCAAGCAGTAAAAAGATTTGAATCCCTCCAACGCCAATTCAGAAGAAAGCCAGAAATGCAAAAGCAATATGTGGAATTCATGGACAAACTGCTGAAAAACAACCATGCTGAAGTGGCGCCAGAGCTAAAAGAAGAAGAGTGCTGGTATTTACCAAGCTTTGCAGTGTATCACCCACAGAAACCTGATCAAATCAGGGTAGTGTTTGATTCAAGTGCCCAGCAGTCTGGGATCTCCTTGAACAATGTGCTCTTGACAGGACCGGATCTGAACAACTCCCTCCTAGGAGTGCTCATGCGGTTTCGAAAGGATAAGGTCGCTGTGATGGCAGATATTCAACAAATGTTCTACTGCTTCCTTGTGGCGGAAAAGCACAGAAACTACCTGCGGTTCTTATGGTTCAAAGACAACGATGTAGCCAAAGAGGTAATTGACTACAGAATGAAGGTGCATGTCTTTGGAAACAGCCCATCTCCTGCAGTGGCGATCTATGGGCTCAGAAGAGCCATCAGAGATGGAGCAGAGAGATATGGAGCAGACACAGTCAACTTCGTTGAACGCAACTTTTATGTTGACGACGGTCTATGTTCTGTCTCAACTGATGCAGAGGCTATCGGGCTTCTCCATAGGACTCAAGCTTCACTTGCTGAGTCTAACTTGAGGCTCCACAAATTTGCCTCAAACAGTCAAGCTGTCTTGAGAGCCTTTCCAAGCCAGGACTGCATACAACCAAAAAAGGATGTGGACCTCAGTGGAGATGAGTCACCCACCCAACGAAGCTTGGGGCTTCTGTGGGAAATAGCAAGCGACACATTCACCTTCTCTGTGACAACCGCCACCAAACCATTCACCCGTCGAGGGGTTCTTTCAATGGTGAACAGTGTCTTCGACCCTTTGGGGTTTCTGGCTCCAGTTACGATCCAAGGCAGAGACTTTCTCAGAGAGTTGAATTCTGAGACATCAGAGTGGGACAGCCCATTACCTGAAGATAAGTTAGGCAAGTGGGAAGCTTGGAGAAACTCACTTCAAAACTTGAAGAACTTTCACATACCTAGGATATACACAGGCATCTGTCCAACCAAGGCCGAGCGAGTAGAACTCCACATCTTTAGCGACGCATCGGTAAAGGCCATTGGTGCCGTGGCCTACTTGAAAGTCATCCAAGGAGACATGGTGGATGTTGGATTTGTAATGGCAAGGGCCAAACTTGCCCCTCCATCAGACCCAACCATTCCCAGACTTGAACTGTGTGCAGCAGTCTTGGCAGTGGAAATGGCTGAGCTGATTCAGGATGAGTTGGATCTAAAGCTGGATGCCACCAAGTTCTATACTGATAGCAAAGTTGTCCTCGGATACATTTACAACCAGTCCAGACGGTTCTATGTATACGTCCACAATCGTGTCCAGCGTATACGCCAATCTACCATCCCAGAACAGTGGCACTACGTGAACAGCGAAGACAATCCGGCTGACCTGGCATCACGGTCGGTTCCAGCAGCAGGCCTCACACAGACGATGTGGTTCACTGGACCAACCTTCCTGCGCAAGCTGTCTATTCAGCCAGGACTAACTCAGTCATTCCGCTTAGTGTCACCGGAGTCCGATGCAGAGGTTCGTCCAGTTGTGAAGAGTTACATAGCTGACCTGCAGAAGAAGGTTCTCAGCACAGAGCGCTTTGAAAGGTTCTCCACATTCGACACTCTCCAACGAGCCATCGCTCTTCTGATTCATATAGCAAGATCCTTCAAAGCTCCGACGGACAAGTGTAAGGGATGGCATCACTGTGACTTACCTCGCTCTGTGGATGAGCTTTCCCAAGCAAGAGAAATCATCATCAGAGCTGTTCAGAGGAATACCTTTGTGAAGGAATTTGAAGCTCTGGAGAGGGGAAAACAAGTTCAGTTGAACAGCTGCCTACGCTCCCTCAACCCAATCTTACAAGGTGACCTCCTCTGCATTGGAGGCAGACTGAAGAATGCGGACATGGTCATTGAACAAAAGAACCCTGTCATTCTCCCAAAAGGAAACCACGTTTCCTTGCTTCTTACCAGATACCATCATGCCCACGTAAAGCATCAGGGCCGTCATCTAACAGAAGGTGCTATACGAGCTGCTGGGCTCTGGATCCTGGGAGGCAAACAGCTTGTGAACTCAACTATTCACAAGTGCATCACCTGTCGCAGACTTAGAGGTCGGATGCAAGAACAACAAATGGCAGATTTGCCCGCAGAGCGCCTTACAGCCTGTCCTCCCTTCACATATGTGGGCTTAGATGTTTTTGGGCCCTGGCACGTCTCCACCAGACGCACCAGAGGGATGCAACCTGAGAGCAAGTGCTGGGCAATACTATTCTGCTGCATGAGCTCTAGAGCAGTTCACATCGAGGTGATTACCTCAATGGACACCTCAAGCTGCATAAATGCTTTGAGGCATTTCTTTGCCATAAGAGGACCAGCCAAACAACTGAGGTCAGACTGCGGCACAAATTTCATTGGAGCCTGTAAAGAACTTGGGCTGAGTGCAGACCAACCGGACAACATGGTGCAGAGGTACCTGCAACAACAAGGATGCTCCTGGGTGTTTAACCCGCCTCATGCCTCACACATGGGGGGTTCATGGGAGCGCCTCATTGGAGTAGCCCGAAGAATCCTGGATTCAATGCTCCGTGATAACAGCACTCGCTTAACTCATGAGGTTCTGTGCACACTGATGGCAGAAGTGACCGCAATTCTAAATGCAAGACCACTAGTTCCAGTATCAAATGATCCAGAGAATCCATACATCCTCACGCCACTGATGCTGTTAACACAGAAAGTCGGCGTCCCACCACCTCTAGGCGACTTCACAGACAGGGACCTCCTCACCAAGCAGTGGAGACAAGTACAAGCCTTATCCAACTTGTTCTGGAACCGTTGGAGACAAGCTTACCTGTCAACCTTACAAAGCCGCAAGAAATGGACAACGTCACACGAGAACCTGCAAGATGGTGACATCGTCCTCCTCAAAGACAACCAAGCTGCTCGTAACAACTGGCCCTTGGCAGTGGTCACAAAGGCTATTCCAGGAACAGATGGAAGGGTCCGTAAGGTGGAATTGAGGACCACAAACCAAGGACAGTCAAAGACTTACCTTAGACCAGTCACCGAAACTGTTTTGCTTCTTCGAAAGGACTGATATTTCAGTTGTAGTTCTTAGTTAAGTTTAATGTTCATGCTAGTGTAGTGACCTCACAGCGGTCAGGCGGGGAGTGTGTCGCCATTGAGGCGATTTATATACAGACTTTTATGATGAAAAGTTGAGAAAGAATAGGACCTTTTATTTTGACACTGTTTCCTGTAGTTTCCTTACTACTTCTTGCATTGTATTCAGTTACTCCACATTCGGTTTCTATCTGCTGAAAATGGAAAAGAATTCCTGACTGTGAACGATGCTAGAAGCAAAGTCGTAAGTAAAAGTCATTGTTATGTTAAATAATTGATAGTTTAAGTTAAGTTTATAGTAGAAAGAAAATGTAATAAATAGGTTAAAAAGATTGTTTTTATTCATGTGTTTAGATAGGTTAATTCATCAGACTTTATGTGAAGCTAAACTTAAAATTAAAAATAGTTGAACTTTGTTTTGTTACAGTTTTCACTCTGCTATGTAATGCTGGATTCTTCAAGTAAACAACAGTGGAACGTTAACTACAGAGCAGTCTCCTGGTTATTGCATCAGAGTTTAACTTGTTGGATAACTTCAGTTAATACACTGCAGTGAGGACAACATAATATGTATTAATATTATATATTTATATATATATATTATAATCTTCAACTTTATTTATTTATTACTTATTCGCCTTTGTTAATTATAACAAAGGCAAATAAATAAAGAAGCTAATTAAAAGAGATACATACATTTATGTCTAACTGTATAATTTGATTTCTACCTACATTTATTTGTTTATTGTAATTTTGGGGCAATTAATTGTATGCTCATTTATTTTTTTGAGCATTTATTTATTTTTGTATTTATTTTTAAATATGGCAGAGTTGGTCCTCCATACTGCCTTCTCGGACTCAAATAATCCTCCATCTTTTGTTGGGACTGAATAAAGTGCTTTTTTTTCTCCCGGCCCCCCCTCTGTCAGTGAAGTGGTACAGTCCCGTTAGACGCAGCCTGCCTCCAATCTGGAGCTAACGCACTCAGAGCGCACAGCGACATGCAGAAGTGGCGGATAAACGCCCTAATATTGTAAAAACGGAATATATAATGAACTTTTACCAGTTGGCGGTGTTACTTGGAACATTGGGTGAGTTTATTTCAATTATTACAACATGTGAAAAAGCCTTTGTTTGGACGACCACAGCGCAACAGGTTGAGCGCATAAACTTCAGCTTATCGCAGAGCCGCTGGCCTCACAGGGGAACCTGCAAAAGGGCTGGTTTTTGGTTTTATCCTGATCGAGGCAAATGAAACAGACTCCCTTAACAGCCAGGGTTTGGTCCCTTTCTTAGACTCTCCTTGCTGGGTCTTTCTTGTAAAAACCTCCTTGTGCAACTGACTGGATCTTGTTATTAATCACTGTGCTTATTTTTTTTTTTTAGTTTTTTCTTTTGGAAGCCTGGTAAAAAAAATACCCCTGTGCCCCTTTATCTTATGTTATATAAAGTTTGCTTTTTACCATTAAGGTGCATCTAAATCAGTTTTAGAAAATGTGTCAAATTAAAACGCTTTTCTCTTTATTCACTTAAATAACTCCATGAAAGTGGCCTAAGTAAGTAGGTAAACCTTATACAGGACCTTTCCTATATTAATATGCTTATTTTTAGCAACTATGTATTACCTGCATATGATTGAGATACTAAAAACAATGTATATAGTAACGTAATTATATATTATGTATCATTAGTAATTAATACAATGGTAATAACTGCACTGTTACTGACACAGATATCATTGTAATATAATTGTATTATATAACATAATAACAGGTTAGAAAATTCATTTTATTATCACCTACATTATTTTAAGGCAGGACTATTACAGGCCTAAAACATCACTAGAAGTTTTTACCATTGATAAATGACACAAATATAATGGAAGCAGTGACAACAATGATAAATAAACAAAAATTGATGCCAAGTTCAGTTGCAATATGAACATGGAGTCTGAACATGGACTTAAAGTATAATCTCTAGCAACCATAAACAAGTGCTTAAAAAACAAGAGCAAAAAGCATGGGAAATTTTCTATGGAGAAAATATTTTTCACCATGTAGGGTAACCCTGCAGTATAGTGCAGCACCTTTATACTACATAGGATATCTGCAGCCACCTATGAACAATTCAGGATGAGCTTCCAATGACTGGGATGTTAAGTAAGGATGAATGAGCTTGTTCTAAAATATAATTTACAGCTGTGAGTATTATAGAATCAGTTTCATTATTCTCAGTTTCATTGGGGAATCCAATATACTGAAAGGTCAAGTAGTCGTCATCCTATGTAGATATAAAAAAAAGACTTGAAATGAAGCTTGTAGGCAATAAACCGCTGAAATATAAAATTAGTCTGGCTTCTGGCTATGTTTTAAAACTCCAGAGGAATCGTTTATGAAACACGAAGTACGTTTCAGTCTTATCAGTGTTGTTTGTTGGAATAATGAGTCCATGTGAAGGAATGCACTGCTAGGGAGAAAAAGGCAGGAAATGTGACGGTTGGGGGAGGAAAAGCCTGACCATGTTCAGGAAACCAGCAACGTCCAGCAGCAGAGTGGTGACCTGGAATACCTCACACTGTTTTAAAAGCTCATCTAATAACACCTTCAGTCCTGCTGCAGGTGCTGAGGAACCTGCTCATTAAATCACAGTAAACAATGGTTAACAGGTGCGCTTCATGATGCATACAGAAACTCTCCTGTTTGGACCTCCTCACACTTCAAACTAAAGGTATTCATGGAGCTGATGGAGGAACGGTTTGGTTTAAATCTCTGGATGATAATTGGCCTGTTCAGAGCCAGCTGGATGAGGACGGGCACTCCTATTGGTTTAGAGTCTGTGACCTCCTCCCCCCCTCTCAGCTCCAAAACCAGGACAAGAAAGGGGGGAGCCCTAACAATGGTCGGCCCCAATAAAGAAACAAACAAAGGGAAGACCAGGGCTCCCTAACTAGAGGAATTTAGCTCCACTTTATATGAAGACTTTATGCAGAACATGGAGGTGGAAGGTAAAAGTTAAATGGGGCAGTGAAATAACTGGAGTCCAGCAAAGAAGGTATTATCTATAAAATAGAAAAATAATTATATACTTTTTTTTATTAAGGAAAAAATATAACAGAAAAAAAAATCTAGGTATGTATTTTACAAATATCTTTTAAAAAAGAAAAACAATTCCAAAGTAAATATTTTATTATTTTTTGAAAGCACTGAAAAAAATAAAATAACTAAATGTAGGGAATAATTGTACAAAAAATTCTAGATGTGTATATTACTGATTTTAGTAAGTTTTTTAATTATTTTTTAAAAGACAACTAAAAGCAGGCATACATGTGTAACAGTTTGCAGCACTGTTGCCTTGCAGTAAGAACATCCTGGCGTCTTTCTCCATGCAGCATGCAGGTTCTTCCTGTGCATGCATGAATTCTCTCTGGATACTTCCAGCTTCCTTCCATAGTCCAAAAACATGACTCTTAGGCTGACTGGTGTCTCTAAGTGTCCATGGTTGTGTGTCTTTGTATTGTCCTGTGATAGGCTGGCAACCTTACCAGGGTGTACTCTGCTTTTCGCCCAAAGACAGCGGCAGACAGGCACCAGCCCCTGTGACCGTTATGAACAAGCAGTAGAATATGGGTGCATTCTTTAGGTTTTTTTGATTAGTTTTAAAATTGCAATTTTTAGGAAAATATTCGAGTACTTTCCATCCCAGCTATAAATGCCGGCTCTAAAACTTGCCGGCTGTTAAAACTTTTTTAGAACTAATGTTTTAATTTTTTCTCTAAAGATGTCAGACTGTTAAATATGTATGATAAGAGTTTTCTTTAATTAAATAAAATTGTCCTACACTGGGTTTGCTCTCCTCCTGAGGCCCCTGGACTTGCTTTTGTTTTCATTTCCTGTCTTCAGGGAAACATTTAGAAGCAGTTCCTGCCCCACCTAAAGCTAAAATGACTTTCAGAAATTACTCATGAGCATCTGACCGCTGCATCCCCTCACAGTGCGATGACAATCCCCTGCCTCTCCTCACTCCTCCCCCAGCCCCCCCACGTAACACTGGAATTTAACCTCCTGACCCCACAGCTCGAGAAGCAGAGGAGCCCCTACACACCTAATCTCTGTTCCTGTCTCTGCTCCTGTTTTGATACGATGCAAATTTCTTATCAGGAATCCTCCACAGAGATAAAGAAGATAAACAGCTGCTGCTGCAAGGATAAAACTTTAATATACATGCATTTTTGTGCGGTTAAAAAAGGTAATAATAAGACAGAGTAAGCTACTTATCTGTAAACTTATGACCATTTCATTTAACATCAAACATGTATGACATATTAGTCATTTCCACATTTTTGATAACTGTTTCAGAAGAATTTCAGAAGAACTGCATAAAAAGTGTTTGAAACTGCTTAGTCTGTATTGGTCAGAGCTCTGATAGAAACTACTGCAAAGGCAGGTGTTTGTATGGCTGCCGGGTCAGAATTTTCCCACAGAGTGAAGTCAAAAACACACCGTTAGGAAAAAGTCATTCAAGTATTGAAGCTATTTGTAAAAACGGTTTGGTTTGAGTTGCTATTGTAAGTTGTTAACATGCCATCAGTTTTCAGGTCTATGTCCCTTATAGTTAATAATGTTTCACAGTTTATTACAGAAGCATTAACAGCCCATTAAGATTAGCACCCTTTAATGTTTTTTAAAAGTTAACACAAATGGAAATATATTTTATTTGTGGAGTTTTAAAAAATCTACAAGCTTTTTGATTTTTTTTACAACTAAAATAGAATTCTATAAAATGTTTTGTGTGACACGTCTTCAGCTCTATCACTCTGATCTCTACAGCCATCCATCCATCCATCCATCCATCCATCCATCCATCCATCCATCCATCCATCCATCCATCCATCCATCCATCCATCCATCCATCCATCCATCTTCTTACACTCTTAATCCCAAGTGGGGTCGCGAGGGGTGCAGGTGCCTATCTCCAGGTCTCTACGGGCGAGAGGCGGGGCACACCCTGGACAGGTCACCAGTCCATTGCAGGGCAACACAGACAATCAGGACAAACAACCATTAACGCACACACTCACACCTAAGGAGAATTTAGAGAAGCCACTTAACCTAACAGTCATGTTTTTGGACTAAGGGAGGCCGCTTGAGTACCCAGAGCGAACCCACGCATGCAAATGGAGAACATGCAAACTCTATGCAGAAACCTTCTTGGTGCAAGGCAGTAGTGCTACCCACTGTCCCACTGAGCAGCCCAACTCACATATGAATAAAAAAAAAAATAATATATATATATTATAGGTTGTTTGTATTTTGATGTCAGTTTAAAACCAGCTGTTCTGGACATTTAAGAAAACAAATTGCATTATGAAGACCAAGGAAAGTTAGGGAGAAAGTGCAAACGAGGCTTAAGGCAGGAGGAGGCAATAAACAAAGCACAGTTCAATCCATCATCTGAAAAAGGTAAACTTGCCAAAACATCTAAACTAAATTCATCAAGAACCTAAAACTTTATTTAAACGCTAGCAAAGCTAAAGAGATCTAAAGTTTGTATTGATAATTCAAAACGCATGTCAACTCAAGGCATTTTACAGAGACAATGCTGTCAGATTGGTTTAAAGTTTGATTGCATATAGTCATTGACTTGCAAGACATGCTCCTCCTCAATGAGCTTGTTGTTGCTGTCTCTATTACAGCAGAGACAGTGAAGTGGTGCAGATGGAGCTTAAATACAAGGAAACCCTAAATAAAATGTGTTAGAGGCCTGAGAAAAAGCATAACACAACTTTACCTAGGTAAAGCAGCTGTGGTTATAAACAGCTAGGTCTTTGAAGGAATGGTTTATATCACAGCAGATTAAGGTGCATGAAGAGGACTAGTCAGCATTACACCCAGTGAAAAATTAGAGGCACGATTATAAAAACTTGATATTGTCAAATCCTCTTCATTAAGCCTAGCTAATACAGACTTGTTTTGCTAAAAAGAAAACACAAAAATTTAAGTTTTTGTTCATGCAAAGCTGGTAGATATATGCCCCCTAAGATAACATTCAAAGGTTGTAGTCATAATGTAACGGAATGTTAAAAGGTTCAGGGGGTGGATTTTTGAAAATCTATGTGTAATACAGAGCTACAATTTTGCAACTGAACTTAATTACTATACCAAATATTCAAGAATGAGAGCAAAGCCTTCAATAATGTGCAGTTTTTTTTATTAATGTCATAAAAGATGTTGATCAGATTCTCTCTCTTTCTGTTTGCCTGTCTCAGTCTGTGTGTGTCATGGCATGCATGTCACAGTGCGAGAGAAGAAGCGGTACGCCACGCTCTTCCAGTCTGTGGTCCTCCCGTGCCAGTATCAAACAGCCTCCACCAAAAGTCCCGTGGTGCAGTGGTGGTACAGGTCCTACTGTCGAGACCCCACGCGAGAATCCTTCTCCCTGCCTGAGACTTTGAGCTATAAAGCTTCGGAGCTGGGCCCCACGGCTCAGGTGGAGTGCTCCGACAGCAGCCGGACGGTCCGGGTCGTGGCCTCTAAGCAGGGACAGTCCTTGACGCTGACCGACCACTACAAAGACAGAGACGTCACCATCATAAACGGTAATGTTATCAGTCTTATCCTTCATGACAAACATTTGAATGAGGGAGCTGCTGCATGTTTGTCCTCCACACATGAGTCATAGCTGACTGCTCTCTAGCATAGCTGACTAAAATGATTTGTAATTGTTTCACAATACAGGAGGAAAACCAGTCTCATGATCTCAACTCATTGTCTTAATACCCTAAAATAACTTACCTCTCATCATCAATAAACACCTCCTTTGTTACCTCCACCAAACTGGTTATGTTTTTAGGTTTGTTTGTCAGTCTGTCTGTGTAAAGGATAACTTATAAAGTTATGAACAGATTTTAATTCAGTGTTTACTTAAGGTGCACTCAATCCATTACATTTTGGTAAAGATCCAGTTCACCATCTGGATCCAGGAAGTGTGAATACAGGTATTAACCTAAGGTGGAAGTCACAAATGTTGGCGTTTCTAGTTGCATTTCTAGTTCAGAATGGATTTAAAGGCTTCTTTGTTATGTCTTGATATAAAACGCATTAATTCGAGCCTGTTTGTTGTGTCTGTACAGACGCCGACCTTCGCATCGGGGAGCTGCAGTGGGGCGACAGCGGAGTGTACTTCTGTAAAGTTATCGTCGCTGATGACTTGGTGGGAAACGATGAGGACCACATGGAGTTACTTGTTCTTGGTACGGCTGCACTTTATGGAGCAACATTAACTTTAAACCGGCTGTGAATCTTTCAGCCATATGTTGTCTGCAAAGGTTTTGGGAAAGGTGCCTTCATTGGGCTACATTCCTAAGACTTTCTACAGCAGCTACCATGGAAACAACCTTTTGATGGTCCTGATCCCTCATGGCACACTCTATTGTTTAACCATTCATGCATTTTAGTGGATCCATGTGCACTTTACTGAACTAGGAAAACATAAAGTTAGGGAGGCTCTGCAGCAGCAGCCTGAAGGATTATACAGTATCTTTAAATAGACAACGCTGAACTGTTTGGGTTCTGCTTCCTCACTGGGAGTATTGGTTTTCTGGTTAATGATTGTACAGGGTTTGCACCTGAAACAGTTAATATCTCACTGCTTAAAGATGAAGGATGACGACGTATTTAAACTTTACAGAGATTTTTCTCTTCCAATGACTGACTTCGGACCTGATGCTTATTCATTCATACACTCATGCCGCACTAATCTGATTAAAACCGTCTCACAGAGCAAGGCAGCTAATCCTCCATCTAATAAGAGGAACAACCTGGTTGGGCTTAAATGGATATTTCAGAGTCTTTATAGCTAAACAAAACCTTAAAATATTTAAAAGATTGTGTTGATTCAATACAAACTTTTTTTGCAACTTCTTCTCTAAATCGAAATGAGTTAAAAGTGATGCTAATTATAAGGTATTGGGCCAAGGCAAATTTGTAAATGTTCTCAACTTTTTCTAACTGGCATTCAATAAGCTGTTTATAAACCACCTACTTTATGGGACGAAATGAACACTTGGGCTTAAATTTGAGCTTTTTTTATCAGGTGTTTAAGGTTTGAAACTAAAATCTTTATTACGCCAACTACTACGAGATTTACAAGTATCTACAACTCAACATCCAATGTTTTCATACAATGGGAAAACAATATATATATATGTAATATAGATTAGACTTTGATAACATTTATAGAAGTCAAATCAAGGAGATCATTCTCTAAGGCAGGCAACCCCAACCGCGGTCCTCGAGGCCCGCTGTCCTGCAGGTTTTAGAGGTTTCCTTGCTCCAGCACAGCTGATTTTAATTGAAAGCTGATTAACAGGCTTTTGGTCTACTGCAATCATTATAACCAGCTGTGCTAAAGCAGGGAAACCTATAAAACCTACAGGACAGCGGGCCTTGAGGACTGAGGTTGGGGATGCCTGATCTAAGGGAATGACTTTGGCCTAAGGGTTGAAATGTGCTGTATCTAGAGAAATAAAATAAGAAAAAGAATGAAAGTGTGTTGTCTGTGTTAGGGTATAAACCCATTTGGCCAGAAAATCAAAAATTGACTACTACAATAAATAAATAAATAAAAAGTTCTGTTCATTCCTCTTCTTGCTCACATAGATGGAATTTGTCTACAGTGAATTTAGATTTGGAGCTTATGAATTTGGTTGGAGGGATAAATGTCATTTGAAGTTTTGAAATGAATCTCTTTATATTTAGGCGGAATAGCAAATTTAAGATATTTGGTTCTCAATGCATGGATATCCTTTTTGGAGCATTCATTTAAAAGGGAGAGTCTTTTATTTGGATTAGGATATAAGATATTTTATACTTTTCTTAAAAAAAATGTTGCGCTTTTCCCTCTATTATATTGATTCCTTCAATCAATTATAATTTTAAGTTTAAGAACTGGAATATTACTGAGGCAACCTTGAAAAAAATTTATCAATTTTTTTGACAGCTTCTTTCCTCCAATGGAAAAGCAAAGCAGTAATTTCTATGGCAACACATTGACGCCCCTTATGTGGCTATAACTCTGTGGTGCAGGGTGACATAAAAGATTTGCTCCTTTCTTAAATGAATGTATACTGTAAAATAACATTATTTCAAAGAGGACCTTCCATTTTGGAATTAATTAGGGTTTTTTCATATACCCAACTTGTCATTTTCTGTCAGTGTAACAAAGATGCAGCAACCAAGTGGAACTAAAATTTGGATGAACATGTTTCCTCCGCCGTTATCTCACCGTTACACCCACTGATCAGTGTGCATCAGTCTGCAACTGATGCACACTGATCTATATGTGTTTACTGTGAAATGATCAAACAAACATTACATTTATCTGTTTCAAGGCTCTGGACTCACTGGGTTAAGGTTAGGGGGAAAGTCGTGGCCACAGTTAGATTCAGTACCTCATCGCTATTCATTTTTCACACAGCCACTGGAAAAAGTAATATAGTTCAACCCAACTACAGGTGACTAGGAGATCTCAGGGTTTACCACGTTACGCCTTGCGTCTAATGGGAAATCCTATATTCCATCAGGAAAAACACTACAGCTTCTGTCCACTAGGCATAGTCGAAATCAAGCAGTTCTTTAGAAATGCTTCAAACCTTATGGAACTTTGATATAGAGGAAAAAAACCAAAGGTCTTAAAATAGGCCCCTGGGGGACCCCCTTAATTAGTGTGACTGGATCCGACAAAACCCAGCCAATAATGAACAGCTTTTGCAAAATAATCATGTTTGCACTTAACTGAAATATTTATATATCGATTAGGTGACAATGGTGTCAAATGCCTAATAAGGGTGACTCAAACACTATTGCTGGAACTGAAAGACTGGAAATAGGTCTGTAGTTATTCATATCTGTGTGATCAACTGACTAAGCAAATGAATAAAAAAAAAAAAAAACGGTTTCCACAGAGCAGGACATTTATTTGAGGAAAGTGACAAATAAAAAAAAATGTGAATCACAAGTTTAGCAAAATTAAAGTAACTTATTTAAGAAAAAAAAAGAGTTACTACCTGGTAGAAAAATAAGGCACTGTAAAGAGATAAAAGACTGTTTGGTTATTTTTATTTATAATTTACATCCCTTAAACTTTATAGGATTTTCTTTTGCCTGAAAAACTTAATGTAAAAATGGACCTATAAGAAATGTGACAATAGGTTTACATTTTTAAAAGAAGTTATCTGCTTTAAGAGAGTAACGGTCAGTTTTAGCATTGGACTCTTTTGGAATACCCACTAGTTTTGGCCCCTAGGACCACCAACTGCTCCCTGGTCAAATTGTTGACATTTTTTCTGTGTTTTCTTTTCACCCTCTTTCTCTTTTGCCCCCTCTGTTCTTGCCAAATCCCCTCATGAACTCCTCCATGACTCACTCCATAACCCTCCAATCACTCCCTGCTCCTCAGAGTTGCAAAGCTCTGCAGCTTTCTCCAGTTACTCCGTGTTTTGGATGGTATGTTAGCACGCATGCAAGGCCAAGGTAGCAAGATTATTATTTTTTTTCCCTCCACACTCCCCTACTAAATGCTTAAGCAGCACATTTGGTGAGCTCCCTGCAGCTCCAGGAGTGTTTGGTCTCTGCTCGTATACAGACAGATCATTTACTGGATTTTGCTCTAATCACAGTTGTTTTGAATCTCATAATAAGCAGGTGGAACAAAAACAAGTGGCTCAGCCTCGGTTTGTGGCAGTTTTTGTAACTGATGTAACTAAATCTGACCTTTTTTTTATCTTTTAATGAAAAAGGCTATGACACTTTTTTACTGTATTTTAATGAGATGCTTTTGAACTGTTGACCTAAAATTTTGAAACTTTGTCCCAGTTTCTAAAACCTCCCATTTGTCTTTTTAAGCCGCTTCTCTTAATGTTGCACATGCGTGTGTGTGTGTGTGTGCATGTAAAGTTAGTAAGCTGCATTACTATGTGTTGTTTCCAATCATATATGTGTGTGTGGCTTTAATGCTGCAAGATAATTTTGGTTCAAATCCTGTAAAAACTTACTTAGAATTTTTGTTACGTTGCAAAAATTGATTCATTAAACTTTTTTAGCTGGCCAGGAAAACAGCCACACAAATGAGCACCATATAAAGCAAATGAATAATAAACAAAACTTAAAACAAAACATAATAACCTCTCAAGTAAAACAAAGAGTTTTCTCCATGACAGCCTTTTTTTTATCAGACTCTTAAAATTCTCTGCAGATATTTGTGCTTAATCCAAGACAATGCTGTCTGGTGGGAAATTGCTAGTTTGTTTTATTCTGTCAAAGCCTTTGGAACATAACTGAGATAAATAAGTGGTGCCTATTAAAGCTGAAGGATACTGATGTTTTCTAAGAATTTACCCAGCAGACCTTTATAAAACATACCAAAGTTATTGTACACATGTGGTTTAAATTGTCCAGTTTAGTGATACATAGATATCCGATGAAAAGGCAGAGGTTTATCATTTGAGATGAAATGCCAAGGAGTGTGATGCACATATTCGAGGCTCTTTAAAGTGAAATTGTTACTTATACTTAGACGGTGAAATGGCTTCTATATATTTTTTTTTCAAAAAGACATAAAAAAAAGATTTTGTCTTAAATCTTCTTAAAAGCTTCTTAACTTTTTAAAATCGCTTGATATTCAACCGAGAGGAGGAAAACCTTGTAAATCATTAGACCACCATGCACCAAGATCATTACAAGATAGCCAAAGTTTGTGCAAAGTATTTATTTTCATCTTTATTGGTGTTGAGTATCAGAGTATAAAAAAACGTATTTCGACCTTTTGAAAATATTTCGTAATGACGAAAATTTTGTCAGAAGTTCTTGTCTAAAGTGAAGCCAATGTGTAGATAATTGCATCATCTGCATACAGATACACTTTAGCTATAATGTCAATGTAAATAACTAATCAATCAATTGCCGGCCACAGATGTTTGATAAATGTATTTGCTCGCTGTTTCCAAAAGTAATTATGTCTGTCCATTTTGTATGGCTTCTCCGTCTGGGTTGCAGGGGGCTGTCAAACAGCAACCTTGGGCAGGTTATTTGTCACTAAGGTTGCTTAATGACAATAAGCAAAAGTTTATTTTGCAGTTTTTAAAAGACGTTGTTTTAACTGTCTGATTTCTGTTCTATCCCTATACCAGTCCTAATTTTTAAATGCAAAAAAATATCTAATTAAAGACACAAAGTGAGAAGCTGGATCAACTCTAATAACTGTAGATCTGTGGTTCGTGGTGAGATAATTTTAATCAGAGGGCCCCCTTCGATGTCTAAATTGAGAGACAACTCTATAGCTGATTGCCATGCTTTACTTTCTAGGCACCCTGAAATAAAGTAATGGTTGTGTTGTGTCAAGTGCTATCTTTAAATCCTTAGTTGAAGCTATTAATTCAACTTGCAAACAGCTAATTTGGTGAATGATTAGATTTGTTTTTTCATCAACAATTCTCATGCTTTCATCTTCGACTTTCTGGTTGAGAATCTTTACAGCTAAACTGCAACTAAAACGTTTCCTTTAAACATTTGGAAGATGTTGGAAAGTTTTCTTGTAAATTTTTAATTTACAGATGGCAAGGGGATTTTTTGGATAGCAGTTTATTGTTCAAAATGTTGACATAAACGTAAGGCTAGGTATGGCTTTTGTCTGTGGGATGTTAGCTTTGAAATGCCTGACAAGGTTCTGTAATCAGTACAGGTTTTATGTAAGGAAATATTTTGGCCAACTTTCCGTTGGCTGAGACGTCACCTCAATGCTTTGGTTTGTCTTTCTATCTGTTTCTCCGCACTGTGCTGTGTGGTGACGGACATTTACTCACAGTAAGGAGTTTTCTATGAACAGATTCCCCACATGACCCCATTTGAAGAAAACAACCTTACCCTTTTAATACTTTCCCTCTGCGTTTTCTCAGCCTGATTTTAGTTTCTTTAATTAATTGAATAGTGCATGATCATAAATCATCATCTTTGCTAAGTTGCCTGATCTTTTTGGCACCGCTTACTGCTGCTTCTGTCCGGCCTTCACCTGTGCTCTCCCTCTCTCTGCAGGCAGGACAGGTGAACAGGACGATCTTCTGCCTGAGTTTAATGTGGAGATCATGCCAGGTACGGCCAATCAGCTGTCTCTGCTCTGCATTTCCAAGCTTTTCTGTCGCCTTCTAACTGATTTGATTCTCACTGAGCCTAATCAAAGATTTCCTTTACTCTGAAATAGGTTTTGGGTTTTTAATCTAATGATTCTTACCTTTGAAACGAAGCGCTTTACCTCCAGTCAGAATTTAAATCTCTGGAGAACTCCAGTGGGATGAGCAGGTTTTCTTAAATTTTAGATAACTGTGAGTTTTGTTGAGTTGCTTTGCTTTCAAGCTTCATTTTCCCCCACTCAGACAAAGTATAAATGCTGCAAATTGAAGATAAGTTGGCTTCTTACCCTGATTGTTACCATGGCCAAGGATGTTATGTTTTAGGAGAGTTTTTGTGTGGGTGTGTGTATGTGTGTGTGTGTGTGTGTACCGGTCTAGCCCTCAGAGTGAGGAACATTTTTCCAATTTCACCATCAGATTGAGACCCAGTTGCAAAGTGAGGACATTTTTCTGGTCTTCACATGCTATTTTCCTAATGGTTAGGTTTAGGGTGAAGGTATCAATTGGTTAGGGTGAGGTATGCATTGGTAAATGCTTAGGTTTAGGGTTAGTTTTAGGGTTAGGGCATAGAAAGGGTTGAAAATTAATGAAAATCAATGGAAGTCAATGGGAGTCAACAGTTTTGCAGAACGAGAAGTTGTGTGTATCTGTGTACAGGATAACTTAAAAAATTATAAACAGTTTTTACCAGAGGTGCGCCTCATCCCAAGGAGCAGTCCAATAAATTTCGATGATGGATTGATGATCGAGATCATAATCCAGATATAGTATTTTTTTAGGATTCATTAACAATGTGAGATAGTTATTCATAAAGCAGCCCCCCGAACATCGCTGATTGGACGCCGCAGCTGTTTGACCCTTGAACCGGAAGTCATTCTGCCTGCTGCGGCTTTTGAAAACATGGATATTGTCGGCGCCCCAAACATAGCTGCCGTTATCCAGGAATATTTTGAATCAGGACATACGTACGAGGTGATACTGGATATACTCAAGACTAATCACGAAATTATAGTTAGTTTGCGTACACTGAAGACACACTTAAAAGAAGCTGGACTGTTCAGACAACGCAACTTCCGGTTCAAGGGTCAAACGGCCCCGTCGTCCAATCAGCGATGTCTCATGTTTCCCACTGGTACCTACCGTATTTTCACGACCATAAGGCGCACCGGACTAAAAGGCGCACTCTCAGTTATGTGTCCCATTTCTGTATTTAACACACACATAAGGCGCACCGGACTATAGGGCGCGTTTTTTATATACAGGTACATGTCCTCTACTACCTTTAAATACCTCTACTGCATATTTAAAAATACAGCGGGGGCAAAACTGAGTATGACTGTGCTTTATTCATGTATTTATTACAAAGTATTAATCAAACCTGGCAGCTGGCCGTGAGACAGACACATGGCAGATGACACAGCGCTGTGATCACTCCTAAATTAACTTAAAATCCTGAAACCTGCCGACGGAATATGTTCGCTTTTATTGCCGGTATCCTGGTGCCTGCAGCTAAAATTATTTAGATGAAAAACACCTGCCAGCAGCCGCGTGAACGAAAGGATTTCTCCTGTCGGTGCACCGCTGGTATGTGGGGGTCTGAGCGCCTCCGACAGAAATAGATAATCTGGATGAAGTGACTGCAATTATTAAGTTTTCAGGTGGCCTTTCTCACTTAAAAACATATTTATACTTATTTATTCCCACTGATCACAGCAAATATAGCTGCAAGATTTAGATTATTTAGATGAAAAAACACCTGCCAGCCGCCGCGCTGAAGAGGAGGAGACCCGCCCAGAGGCTGCTGATGAATTAAGCTTTCAGGGAGAAAAATACAGCGGGAGCAAACCTGAGTATGATTGTGCTTTATTCATGTATTTATTACAAAGTATTAATCAAACCCATCAAAGTCATCATCCTCTGTTATCCTCAGCATTCCTCTGAATAAAACAGCTGCGCTTAAATCAGACATGCCAGTTTCCCCTTCTTCGCTGTCAGAGTCACTTTCCGTGCAGCGCAGCTCCTCAGAAATAATGCCGGCTTTTGCGAAAGCTTGAACAACAGAGCCAGCAGACACTTAGTCCAGCATCTACAATCCATCCGCAAACGGTGGCGTAACTTGCACGGCGCTGCCTTCCATTTATCCTGAAACTGTGGTCTCCGTCTGTCATCCATCGCTCCCACGCCGCTCGCAGCCTTACTGTGAACGGCCGCTCCACACCGATGTCGAGCGGTGGAAGTTCCTTTGTCAGACCCCCCGGGATAACGGCGAGCACAGCGTTCATTTGATTCACCTTTTTTTCACATCGGCTGTGAGATGGGCACGCAGCGATGGTGATGCGTGGAAAAAACCACCTAGTCTTCTCACATACACCTGTCTCAGCCACGCATCCACCCAGCCTTTTCATTTGCGTTAATATCATATGTCATCAGAGCGCTGTGTCTGTCTCGCTGCCAGCTCCTTGATTAGCTTCTCTGATTGGTTGATGCGGCGCGTCCAGCAGCAAAACTTCAATTTTTCCATCTGAGCAGCAGCAGCGCGTTGGCGGTGCATCAGATGCTTAAACGCTCCCGACGTGCTGCACCAAAACGCGCTGCGGGACCTTTTGCTGCACCTATACGCGCGTCAACCATTGACTTTGCATGTAAACTCGCTGCTTCTGCTGCACCTGCTGGGTCCGGTTCACACCGATGTCGAGCGGTTGAACAGCGAGCACAGCGTTAATTTGTTTCCCCATGTTTTTCACATCAGCTGTGAGATGGGCACGCATGGAGTCACAGATTAATGGTGATGAGTGGAAAAAAAACACCTGGTCTCCTTACATTCAGCCACTCTTTCATCATCTCCTCAATGAGGTGGTCTCAAAAGTCGCAGTAACAACACACATAGGGCGCACCGCACCATAGGGCGCACCGCACATTTTGAGGGAAAAAAAAGACGTTTAAGTGCGCCTTATAGTCGTGAAAATACGGTACCTTTTCCGGTAGGTTAATGTAATTGTGTTTTCCTTAATGTAGTTGCGCTTTGCAAGTTTGATCAATCTTGATGCATATTTATGCTATCGCCAGAGGTGTCAAGTAACAAGTACAAATATTTTGTTACTGTACTTAAGTACACTTTAAAGGTATCTATACTTTACTCCATTACTTATTTTTCTTCCTACTTCTGGCTTCTACTCATTACATTTTCACACAAGTATCTGCACTTTCTATTCCTTACATTTTTTAAACAAACGTTACTAGTTACTCTTGGCTTGGTTTAATGTTTATGTGCGTCATCCAATGCAGATCATTGGCGCCATCCACATTTAGTGAAAACAAGTGTAACTGGATGAGTCATATAACGCAAACACTCATTGGTTAGCTAAAGGAAATCATCAAAAGCAAGCAGGTTTTCTTAAAACTGCAAACGTGAATTGTCTATACCATGCTACAATGTCGGATTCAGAAAAAGATGTTGAAATGTCTGAAAGGTCAAACACAGGCGAGAGACGGAGACCAACAAGACCTCCCTCCAGTGTTGTGCCTGAACGCGTTCACTGAACGTAAGTTTATGAACTCGTTCATATTTTGGGCGAACGAGAACTGAACGTACTGTATTACTGCCTGATGAACGTTATTGTGAACTCGTTCATTCTGGTGTCTGTGAACGGCACGCTCTCTCAGTTTACCTCCGTTCAATAGGTTGCCAGATTTCTATAGAGCCCTCCAGGCGAAACCCCGGCTAAATCACACCGTAAACAGGCCTTAATATGTAGCGGGGAAAACACCCAATCTGGCAACACCAGCTACCAGTGTCGTAGCCTACAGCCGCGTGCGTCATCAAAACAAAATGCAGCGTGGAAGCCACAGCAGCATGGAGGCGACCGTGGAGGCAACAAAGCAGCAGTATGATCACTTAAAACAGTTTTATGACCAGGGGGTCGGTGTGGATGATGGCAACAATCTTACATTTCTCTGCAAACTTTGCCTGCCGGCTTTCAGTAAAAAAAATCCGCACTTCAGTAACATCCAAAGCAAATCTGAAACAGCATATGTACTGAAATTGAATTTCAAATGGAAAAAAATATTAAAATTAAAAAAATATTTGCTCCTTAAAGACTACTTTCCTGTTTTTCTTTTAATAATTCCTCATAAAAAAGAAAATTCAAGCAGCACATTTTTCCTGATGTTTTTGAGAATATACTGTAGGGGTGAAAGCTGCAGCTGCTACTAGTGTGAAGTGAATGGACAGCAACAAAGCGTTAAAGCAACAATGGGGAAATGCTGTCCCCTCAATGCTAATGTAAACCCTGGTTGGATAAGGATTCAAAACTGGATATGAAGATGAAATCTGACGCACAGTTTCAGTGTTACAACTGATAAAATAATTACTGTCTGTGGTTCTACAGTAGGCTATGGTATAATTGAGCAATATATGAAAAAAAAATAACTATGAACTAGTTCATTTTTTGGAACTGTGAACTTAGTTCAAAGTTTTCTATTATGAACTATGAACTAAACTAGTTCATTTTAAAATGTGTGAACTGAACTTTGAACTAGTTCACGTAGAAAGAGAACTTTCCCAACACTGCCTCCTTCATCCTTGGCCCTATCTTTAAGAATTTTTCCAAATAGTTGAAAAAGTGAGCTTTCAATTCATATAGTGGATGTTTGTTTTAAAAGTTACTTTATGCTTTAATATTTTAAGTAGTTTTTAGAGCACCTACTTTTTCACTTTTAATTAAGTAAAGAGGTAAAGTTGATACTTTAACTTTTACTAGAGTGTTTTTAAACAGTATCTCTACTTTTATTTAAGTAACAAATGTGTGTACTTTGGACACCACTGACTATCGTCAGAATAGTTTAGGCATGTTTGCTACATCCACAAACACTATCGAATTCTATTGGGATTTAGAAGGCCAGAGCAACATTAAATAGCACATGTAACAAAAAATGCATGCATGTTACATCCATTTACATTCAGCTCCCCTGAATGAAGGTTTTTTAGAACCGCTCTATGTCTGTCTGACATCTTAGCTCGTATTCAGTCACTTGTTTTCCATTCGTCTTTACAAAATTGTTCAAACTCTTTTGATTTGGATGCAAAAAAAAAATATATGAACATTCATTTTTAGATCTTGAAAAAATATTTTCAGTTTTATTAAGCTGAAAAATGTTTTCTGTTACTGTGCCATTTTATTGCGTGGATTTGCCATAATCTATACCTTCCATGTAGCACTGGCATTATGTTTCAGAATGTTGTTCTGCTTTTCAGTCTATAAAAGAGCTTCTTTCTATACTTCTCTGTATTTAGCTCTATACATCTTCTCATTCCGATCAGTTACCTGATCCTATAAAACAAAATAATCGCCACAGCATGAAGCTGCCACCATCACGCTGTGTCGCGGGGACGTTCTAATCAGGGTTGGATTTTTGTCCCATTTCTCATTTGAACATAGCATCTCAGATTAAAGGTACTTTTAAGAGACACTACAAGTCCAAAATTATGTATTAAAATATGTAAAAATATTAATTATATTCACATCTTAGATGACATATTTTCATTAACTGCATGTGAAAAAAATCATAATTCATATTAAAAGAGTAAAGGTTTAAAGCATCAGTCTGTATGTGATAAATATATAGTGTTTCACTAATGAGTCGTTAAAATAAATATACATCAATAATATTCTAATGTATTAAATGGGTCCGTAAATGTTTTGGGTCTGTTTTGTTTTTACTGATCTGTTGTTTTATAACTTTCAGGAAGTTATATTGATCACAGTAAAGTGAAATAAAAAAATAAATCCTTGTTTATGACTTCATTGTAACACATCTCTCTGTATAACATTATTTTATCTACAAAGATGTGATTTGAAGGTCTGATGATTGTATTCTCTATTTGTTTATTTTACAGAGTGGGCGTTTGTGGGCTCTGTGGCCCTGGGCAGCGTCCTCTTCCTCTTGTTGCTGGGGATCTGCTGGTGCCAGTGTTGTCCCCACTCCTGCTGCTGCTACATCAGCTGCTGCTGCTGCCCCGATACCTGCTGCTGTCCACGGCACCGTCAGTGACACAAATACTCAAGCAATGTGTGTTCCGTCATTTTTTCTCTCATATACGAGAGTGATTTTCTCATGTTTGAATTTGTGCAGTGTACGAGGCGGGGAAGATGGCAAAGACCCGACAGGCGGCTCAGGTTCCTGCTCAGGTTCCAGTTTATCCTTACTACATTTCCAGTGTTCCTACTGTGCTTCCTCTTGCTCCCTCAACCCAACTGGACCCAAAGATCTCATCAGTCACCTCAACTGAAAATAACCTGGTTGGAGGTGAGTCACCTGCATTTCAATGGTTAATTTTCCACCAACCTGAAAGAAAGTGTGAATAACTTGCTCATCACCTTAAGAGCTCATTAAGGCAATAATCCCTTGTTTAAAGGTACAATGGAGGATTTTGCAAATGTTTGAAAAGATCCGCCCTCTCTAGTTGAAAAAAAAAGCACATGCACAACACTGTACCCACTCCTGAGAGGGAACGCCTATTAAACGTGTTTGAGTGCAAAAGGCCTTTTCTCCTCGTGCACACTCTATAAGTGAAAATAGGGACGAGCACGTAGGACCGCCTTACGTAACATTTCCCCAGAATGACTGACAATTAGGAGGACCACTTATTTTGATGATCCACCCAAAAAAAGAACATCCTCCACTATACCTTTAACTGTCAGACGCTTTAAGGAAATGCGATTCATAGGATAAACATTAATCATCCGCTGTCTCACTCTGACTTTAACTGTTATCCTTGTCTAAAATAGAACTCTCTCTTTGTGTCATGCATGCTTGTAAATTAACAGATCATGAATCATCTGTGTGTGTGCTTCCTTGCATGGTAACATCCTCTTGTCTTTCTGTCTGTCTGTGTGTGTGTGTGTGTGTGTGGGTGTTTGTGTGTCTGCGTCCACAGTGCGCACTGGTTACCGTCTGGCCAGCAGCCAAGACCAGGACCCAATGAAAATTCTGTACTACATAGAGAAGGATCTGGCTCAGTTTCCAACCAGCAAGATGGCTGCATTCAATTGTAAGCCTTCATAAAATAGGCTTTTTGATGGCTGCGTGTGAATGTGTGTCCTTCTGTGTTTAATATGTGTGTAACTTTTGGAATTAACTAGTAGCAGAATCTGTCTCTTTTGAAACATCTAATTCAAATTGGTTTTTAGTGTATATCTTTTTTGCCTTTTTTCTTCAGTAGAACATTTAAAAACATCTAAAAATAAGCCTAAAAATATCAAGATTGACCACAATTAAAAGTTCATGTTTTTTTTTATTGTCATTTAGGCAGGTTTGGTGCCCTTCCATCATCTACATCTTCCTTAAATATTTGCAATCTTTTTTGAGATGTTGACTTGGAACCTGTAAGCATCCATCTGCTCCATGTTGTATGACTGAAGCACCACAACAGGACATGTAAAAACATTTAGGTTAAATAATTTAATTACAGAAGGAACGCTTCAACATGAGGATCCAGAGCAGATTGGTGTGAATTTTTAAGATTAGTTTTAAATCAATTGTGTAAATAGTTTCTAAGCAGTTGTTTAGAGTTTTTTTTTACTGTTGCAATAATGAAAAAAATAAAACATCATCCCTAAAGTAGGTCATGATTGAAGCTATGTAGACCAACAGACATTTCTGCCTCCACAATCCACTGCATGCATTTGATTGCTGCCAAATGTTCTCATATTTCTTCCCAGCAGAACCATTCCACTCATTCCTTGGTTGTGAAACCTTCTAACACCGAGGAGCCCTGTGAATCTTTCAGTTAAGAATGTCACCACAATAATTTATCTCTGCTCCACCAGCCAGCAGCATGTCAGAGCTGAGCTCCCTTCACGACGGAGGGACCACTGATTTCAGACGTAACTATCAGACGGTGCAGATGAAGGCGCTGCCGCCCATCCCAGACCGTGAGGACCAGGTGAGAGCGGCTCCACCCACACAGAGTCGGAGGCCCAGACAGAACGATGGAAATTACTCCGATGATGAATTGGAGCGACGGTATGTTGGAAAACTGCAGATTATAGAAACTATTCTTCTGACTTAACACTTTGGAATTATAACTCCTACAACCTGCAGCCTATTTGTTCATCTTAATCAAGTGCATTTGTGCAAAACATATTGTGCAGCTGTTAGTCCTAGTTCCACAAACCAGGCCTTTATGGAGCAGCAAACAAGGAAAGGCTGGAACACCCTGCAAGCATCAAACTCTACAAACTCTAGTCTTTTTTTTTATTGTTCTGTCTTACTTCTTATATATGCACTGAGTGATGTAGAGATGAACCTGGCTGATTGACGAGATTCAGACTCACTGATCTCTATTTATTCACTGGATATCCAATTGGTCATTGGTGGTGCACAGTGCTTTGAAGTCACCAGCCACCATATTGGTACTCCCTAGTTAGACCGGTCGGAATGTAAACAGTACCTGTGCTATAGCATTAAACAAAATGATTATATATATATATATATATATTGAATTTAACTATTTCATCTTCTCATCAACTCTGATTAGGTTCTCTGTCCCTCCTAAAGACACATTTTACATCATGATACCTCCTACCACCAGGTTTCCCCATGCTGATGGTGTGTTTAGAAACACTCAGAAATTTCTGTTTTAGCTTCATCTGACCAGAATATCTAATTCTGCAGCTCTTTCAGTGTCACCAAAACCCCATAGAGCACAATAATGTCTGTAGTTTGAAGGTTGTAAGTCTGAAAAGGTTCAAAGGGTTTTAATCCTGTAAATATTGGAAATAAGTTGAGTTTGTTTCCACCTGTGTCGCCGTAGGTGGAATCCCCGCTCAGAACACCTTCAGAGGAAAACGCTAAGCAGGCGAGGTCGCACCGGTTCTCTGGATGAGCTGGAGGAGTTTGCCCAAAGCTACAGTACGCGCGCTCGTCGCCCTGAGCCTCCGGACCGCCTCTATGGGCGGGACTACAGCCCTCCAAGGCGATTCTACCGAGATGAAGAAGATAACTGGGGCCGCCGTAGCCCCTCACCTTTACCACAAAAGAGAAGGGACACATGGGACAGTGACCGTCCATCCCGACTCCCCCTTAGCAAAAGTTATGATGACGGCTTCCTCACCAGTGTGCTGGAGAGGAAGACGAGAGGACGGGGTAGGGACAGGGGTGCTGGGAGACCGGATGAGGACAGCGACACCCCCTCTAAAGGCAGCTCCAGAGGAAAAGGCAGCGACAGCTACTATAGCCGGTCGCCCAGCCACCGTCCAGACGAGGACGACCCTCTACCTCCGTACTCTGAGCCGGCGGCTGAGCGATACCGCAGGGGGGACCTGACAACAGACAGGTACCGGACAGCAAACCCTCCCCGGCCAGACAGATACAGGAACACCGATCCAGCCTCCAGACCTTTCTCCTACACTCCTCCTCACCAGGGAACGTCCCAGACACTACAAGGAGGCAGAGAGGAGCGGGACAGGAGCCGAAACCTGGTGAGTTACTTGTAGCAGGAACAAGGACTTCCTTCCTCTGCTGCACCGCAGGAAAAGACTGTCTATATCCTGTAAGCAGCTACAAGACAGACCTAATGGTATCCAGTCATTTTCTTTTTGCCAACATTATTGCAAATAGACTCTACTATTAAAACCTAAAATGCTCCATTAAATGAAACAACACCAAATTAGCAGAGAGCTAAAATCAATTAATTTTGACACAAATCCAGCACAGTAATGAAGTATTATCAACATAAAACACTGAAAAACTTGCTGCTAAGGGATGTTATTGAGAGAGCAAACGTTTTAATTCACAGAAGATCAAAGCTCCTAAATTTAATAAACTCAGAAACACAGAATAAACACAAAACTGTCAAACATGATGCAAAACCAACTAAATGAAATCCTCCTCAAACAGAAGCCATAAGATTTTTTTGGCATTAAATAATCCCAAGAAATAATCACAATGGATTCTGAGTTAGAGACGTTTCAGAGATCAGCTGGAGACTGCAGGTAAGAAAATCCATCATCAAATCTTTCCGGGATCAGCGGGCGTGTAATACCTAACCAGAGTGGAAGATGTCACTGCAAGAAGGGAACTCCCAGTTCAGCATTTTTTCCCATATGTGACCCATATCTGAATTTCCTACCACACTCCTACTTGCACAGATTATATTTCAGCCACCATGATGCCATTAATCTGACCTCTAAGTTATGTCTGTAGCAGAGTGATAATTTTGTTCTGAGGAGGCGTGAAGAGCCAAGAAAAATGTAAACAATGGAAGAAGCAAAAATACTACTGTTGTTTGAATACCGTATGCTTCTATAAACGTTTTTAATAACATTACAGCCGCCAATCACATCTTTTGTGTTAATTGTCCCCACCCCAAACATACTGTCCTGGAAAAAGAACCACATTTCCTAAATTAAAACCAATCAATATACTAAAGCAATTAAAGCAACATAGCTGTTTTATTTTGGACATTTGCAGGCTTAAGGGTAACAGTAAGGGGTGTAGGCTGCAGTATTTATGAAACAGGCACAGACACTGGAGTTGGTAATATTAACCGCTCTAAGCACAGGGCTAAACGCCAATTAGGTTTCGGAACGTCAAATCTCTTAAAAGTATGAAAAGATGCAATTTAAAGGTATAGTGGAGGAGTTTTGCAAATTTTCTAAAACATCTGCCCTCTTTAAAAAGAAATGCACATGCACAACCCTGTACCTGCTCCCTAGCGGGAATGCTTATTTAATGCATGCAAGAGCATGCAGGAGCCCATTTCTCCTCGTGTACACTAGTAACTTAAAAGTAGCTGTTTGCATCGCTAATACAATCTTACTTTCCAAAAGCACGTGGGACGGCCTCACGTAAACATTATCAGGACCATTTATTATCCACCCAGAAAAGGAACATCCTCTGCTATACCTTTAAAATTAAAATAAAAAACAATACAGTGCAATTATAGAAAAAGAGACAATTTTTAGCACAGAAAAACCAAAATAATTATCCAAATGATATGTTAAATAACCATTATTTGATGCATAAGAGCACTGAAATTTTAAAAGTGTCTGTTTTCAGTTAACTTGTCTTATTATCCGTTTATGTTAACATGTCTTGCTGACCTCAGGTTTCAGTCCAATTAAGGCCTTTGTTTCCAGCCTTTCCTGACATTACTGTCTGGTTATTTGACAATATTTATTTTGTGTGTGTCTTATTTTCAGCTCATTATTTAGCATATGTTCCCCAGGGGTTTCGTTTTATGCTTCGGTAGCAATTGGAGGACAAAACATAAAATAACTAAAAAAGGGCAGGGCATTTATTTAGAGCAGAGGGGGCTAAATGACCCAAAGGAGTGCTGAAAGCAGCAAATAATGATATTACTGAAATACAATAAAAAAATACATTGCAAAACTACTCCTAAAAGTAAATTTATGTTAAAGCTTTACTATAGTAAATCTAACTAGTTTACCCATCTCTTATTAGAGTAAGATTTTTTTTGTTAGGAAATGAAGCCACAAAATGTATCATGAAAAGACTTAAATTTTGAGAAAATATATGTTTTACTCCCTATTTAGATGAGAGATGTAAAATATGCCTTAGTCTCTCTTTATGTTGAGCATACTGTGTTCACAGTTTACTCTGCTGCCCTCATGTGGCAATAAAATGTACTGCAAACACACATCTGCAGTTTGATACAGGGAGGCAGCTCAAAAAGTATACAGTAAATAAAGCAATGCAGGGGATAAGAAGATGGTTGGTGCTTTTATGGTCTGTTTCATCATTTGTTGGCAATGAGAAAATTATAATTAAATGTCCTAAAGTATTTGTATATATTGTTTTTGTACCTTGGGTCTTAAATTCACATGACATGGTTGTAATACTGAATTTAATATTACTTTCTACAAAATTTGCCTAAGTTGTATTTCTTTATTATCTAAAAAAATATAGTTAATTTTTTTTGCACTACTGTAATGGTTAGGTTAACCCTAACCCTATCTTACAAATTGTACTAAAACTCTTTGCTTTTGGATTAAACATCACCAACCCTTTATTGCATGATTTCCATCTATCAACTGGTTAAACACAGTCACCCAGCATGAGCATGAGCATCTCTAACCTGTAGCCTCTTGGTGTATTTCCCTAACAGAGCGCTGCACTGAGCAGAGACTCTCTGATAGTATGACAGGCGCTTGAGCCTCCTCCTGCACAGAGCAGCTGGACCGTTCGATTTATCCGTCCTACAAGCAGCTACACTGTAGACGCTTTCTGTCTCCACCAGAAGCTGCATGATGCCTGGCTCACCTTCAAATAACCTCGCTGGGAAACACCTTTAGAGGAAGGAAAACCTGAGAATTATCACAGACTGAGGCATGAGGTCTCCCCTGCTGGTGCTTAAAGGTTTCTGGATTATACTTGTGCATAAATTATACTGTATTGTGTGTATTTGTTCATGCATATTGTATGTAAGGTATGACTGTTCCGTAATTTCTGCTGGTGATTAAATTTACACAGGTGCCAAGTGTTTTTTTTTTGTTCTTGTTTTTTTATCTTCCATATGCAGCCACTATTCCTACCTTTGCTTTAGTACTCTGTAACTCAGGTTGACTGTATTTTTTTTTTATCTTTATATCTTTTTTGTGACTGTTTTGAAGTACTGCACCTTGAATTTGTTTTGCAGACTGTTATTGCACTGCTTAGATACATGCTAATAAAGAAATCCCCCCCGTTGGATTAAACGACTGCTGTGCCATAACTGAGTACTCCCATTAATTGCAAATGTTTTTATCTGTGATTAAAACCTGATCATATAACTTGAGTCTTACATTTTTGTAATCCAAAAACATGTATTACACTTCCTCAAACCCATCATTCAAAGTTTATATCTGGAAACATGGTCCCCCTTAAATGATCCTGAAATTATCAACTTTTATTGTGTGTCTTTTGGAAAATCTAATTTCTTAGCAAAAGCATTGACATCTATTGTTTACTGACTTTGTAACTTACTTTTATTTAAATTTAGCTTAATACTTTTTATGTTTTATTATTCAAATTATTCTTTTTGCACAGCTTAATTTATCTGATAAGCCAATGCTGTATTTGAATACTTCTATGGTATATTTGTTCAATTTTTTTTCCCCCTTTACATTTTCCTAATCCTTATCTGAAAAATGAGTGGCGGCTATCTATGAAGTAATGTTTCTTTTTAAGTTAAGCAGTTTTAAAACCTATGCTGTCTAATTGTTTGAAACACATTTGCTACATCCTAAACAGACATATAGAGAACTAGGATGTTTTGTATATCAGAAAAGACAGATTAACTTTAATGTTGGAGTCTTTTCCTTAGAATAAATTCAGCTTTTATTTCAGTGGCATACACTGAAATACATACATTTATCCTGAGCAATACAAATAAAAGAATGAAAAAAGGAAAATTCACCAGAGTCAAAGTTACTAGCATTCATTAGTAGTATTGGGTACTCAAGCACTTGTTCTGTAACATTTGTTAAAATTAAAGCACACAGAACAGATTTATTCCTAAAACCTCTTCAAATAATCCAACCTAGAAAACTGAAATGGTCTTTAAAAAAAAATAGATAAACACTCAGACAGAGCAGACCTCCAATAAGCAGCAAATTTTGCCCCATATTTTGACTTAAAAAAATGTTTCCTAACCTTTTTTTACTTGTGTACCCCTATGGGTATTTTGTGATAACATGAGTACTCCTCTCAGTCAAAAGTATTGATTGTCCTAAAGTGTAACATACAATAACTAATTATTAATAATAAAAAAAAATTTAATAAAATAAATCCACTGGAAATAAAAAATATTTTTACTCAATATTTTAATTTGAGCACTTAATTCTTTAGTATATTTTATGCTTTATATCTCAAATAAAAAATTAACACAATAATGTTGCCTGCAAGTTATTAAGGATTTAAAATAAATACAAAATAAAACATTATAAACCTGTATTTATTAAACTGGAGCTCCTCAGAGTAACTCTCTTGTAATCACATTTAAACTTGATGAATTGGGAACAAATTACAAAACAAAAATTATCATCAGACTGACTTCGTTATTTTTACTTTGTTTTCATTAAGACACCTGAGCTGTTTTGATCAGGTGTGGGAAAACAGCTGATCGCAGGCTGTTCTGTACATCCTGTCTGTTCCTCTGCTTGTCACAGCTGAAGGTGAACACAAACATATGATAAAAACGTACTTTTTGGTAAAAAAAAAAAAAAAAAAAAGCTTGTTTTAGCCCTATTTTATTTTACTTTCCCAAGAAATAAAATATTCATGTACTCCCTGCAATGTACTTACTGACCACTAGGGGTCAGCGGATCCCCGGTTGGGAATCACTGACGCTCACCTATAGCTAAAACTCATATACAGTATGAGATGATCTGGATCATAGGCACATTTTAAACTCTAGTATTTCAAACATTAACAACCATTGCAGAAGCATCACCTAACTTTAAAATGACGTACTTTTATCATATAGGCCTACTCCATTTTAAAAAAAATTCTCACCTGACACCTTCCTGCATCAATACATTTTCCTTGAAATTGAATAATATTTCAATATTATTTTATTTCTAAATCAGAGAAGAAATGTCAAAAGTTGTGTGAATACTGAGATTATCTAAAACCTGGATTAGCACATTGTTCTGTTGATATGCAGCACAAGGTAGATACAAACATTCCCACACCAAGAGAAGCTGGTTGTTCTGTCCTGACACAGATAAAGAAGGAATTAAGGATTTAGAGCCAAGAAGAGGAATAATAGCACTGCTTTTCTCGTCTGCAGCATTTTTAACGGATTGAAGCACACTTGAATAAGAAATGAACCCTACTTCAAGTTAGCTCAGGCGGGCATGTATTGTGTCTTCAATCTAAAGCTTGATTGGGGTCCATATTCTCTATAAGACATGTAAACATCAACATAAAAAAGCTCCATCAGTTGACAAAAATGTTGCATCCTGAGAAGGAACTTTACAATCAGTGGCCTTTGAAGCAGAAAACTGCTTCTCCTTTTTTTTTACCCACCCTCAAGAGACATGAGTAGGATGTTAGCAATAATGTGAGGAATGCATTCTTTTATGGTGGAAACTCACAGCAGCACTGCAGACTTTCCTTTCTGGACTCCTTCAACCTGATCTAAAACCTGGATTATTAACACCACAAAGAAAGACACGATAACAAGATTTAAAGAAGGAAAAACGAAACCCAACAGTTTATATATATATATATATATATAAACTGTTGGGTTATAGTTAGTTGTGTTCTCTAACAAGGTCCAATAATGTGACACTATAAATTGTAAAAAAATAAAAAATTTACAAATGCACCTGTTAGTGTGGGCGGGGGAAGTGATGTCACCTGTATCTAGGTGGGGGAGGGGATGAGCAGCCTTTCCACTGGGAAGTTCGGTTGTGTACCGCTGCTCCTGCAGGGAGAAAAAAAAAAACCTATTATAAAAATAGCCTGTTAACATTCTGCCATAGGTGGAAAGCCTGGTTATTATGTTTGGAAGCATTTACGCGACGTTTTTCTGTCGATATTCCGTCTTTTTTGGAGGATTTCGGCTACTTACAGAGCAAGAAGTGAAGATTCCGCGGAAGGATACAGATCACTGAAATGGGAAACATGATACTTCTGTTGTTTCTGCTGCTGCACCTGCCAACAGGTGAGGCTCACTTAAAAATCCACCCGTGCCTAACTATTACTGCAGTATCCCTTTTTGAAACCTAAAAGAGAGAAATTTAGAAATAAAAAAAAGAATACCTAAACCAATAGTCGAAACTAACAGCAATGCCGAAAAGTTAATGATCGACAGGTGTAAACAGAACAACCCACGTATCTGTGGGCGCCCTAGTTTTTCAATCAAAACTGACTCCAACATGTGAACAAAATAATTTAATCCTCTTTACTTTTACTCTTTACTTTTATCTCTTGTATCTCTTGAGTAACTGAAATTGTCACTTTTGTTTTAAAAAATTAAGTTATAAAGAGCTTTTGATTCCAGTTTATTTAATTTTTTTTATATTGAGGTCAGCTTTGCAATAGAAAGCTCATAGGGGTTCCCAAAATGGGGGGCGGGGCCCACCGGTGGGCCGCGATGGTTTGCGACTTTATTCTCGTAATTTTCTAACTTTATTCTTATAATATGACTTCATTTGTGTAATTGTATGACTATTCTCGTAATTTTATGACTATTCTTGTAATTCCATGACTATTCTTGTAATTTTATCACTATTCTCATTACGATTTTATTCATGTATTTTATAACTCTTTCGTTATGATTTTATTCATGCATTTTATGACTCTTTCGTTATGCCGGCCTCAGTTACAACGCGAAGACAAGAGTTCCTTTTACTGATGTTTAATGCTCTTAAACACCGTAGAACTGACAAAATAAGCAGAAAAAAATACAACAGAAATAATTAGCCTCACAACATAACTTAACATACAATAAATGTAGCAAACAAACATACCACTTTGGCCTGCTTGTGACTAAGGCTGGGTTTATTCTTCTGTTTTAACTAGCAAATGCAGTTCTTAGTCTTTGTGAGCTCGTACAGTCCACTCCGAAACACAAGTGTGGTGCCGTTAGCTTACAATGTTGACAGGAAACATAAATGTCATTTTTCAAAATACGTGCATCCATCTTAATCTTAATAAAATAAAATACTGTCATTAACATTCAAAACAAACAATGATTATAAGGTATATTACACAAATATTGAACCATATAGAATAAAAAATAAATACAAACTTATATAAGGTGCAACAGCACCGATAAGTACAAACTTATTTGAGGTGCAACAGTGCCACCTTCTGGATTTCAGAATTATTGTACAAGCAAAACAATAGCATTTACACTCCCACCATCACACTATGTGTGATTCTACAGAACAGATGAAGAATAACAACGGGTTAAGGATACAAGATAACCAACTACGTGTTTCTTTTGTTATTATTCAGCTTCAAGTAAAAGTATTGTCTTATGTATTGGTCTTTCTAAAAATGTTTTAGTCGTGTGTGTTCCTTTTTGTCTATTGTGGTGTCACTGATGAGAAGTTTAACTTTGCTGACTCTCTTGTCAGCTCCTGGGAAAACATCTACCACTTTGGCAAGTTTCCACTGGTTTCTTGGTAGACCTTCATCTTGTAGTAATACAATGTCATTTATTTTAGTGTCTCTTCGAGTCTTGTGCCATTTTCTTCTCTGCTGCAGATTCAACAGATATTCCTTCCTCCACCTGGTCCAGAATATGTTCGCCAAATATTGAACTCTTTTCCATCTTTTCTGCAGATAGAGGTCTTCTCGAACGAATTCTCCAGGGGGTGTCGTAATGACCGTAGATTTCATTGTCAATATGTGGTTCGGTGTCAATGGTTCAGGTCCTACAGGATCGTTGATACACTCTGCACTTAGTGGTCGGCTATTCACAATGGCCATGGCTTCATACAGAAAGGTTCTTAGAGATGAAGTGTCAAGCCTTTGAGCAGATTGGTCCAATATGGATTTCAAGACATTTCTTATGGTCCTAATTTGCCTCTCCCAAACGCCGCCCATGTGACTGGAAGCAGGTGGGTTGAGAAGAAATTTGCAGCCTAGATCTTTCAGCTTCTCTTGACTTGATTCAATCAGCTTTTGAAACTCATTCCTTGCACCCATGAAATTAGTGCCTTGGTCGCAATGCAGTTGACTTACGTTGCCACGAATGGCTATAAAGCAACGGAGTGCATTGATGAAACAATCGGTACTGAGGTCATCCAGGACTTCTATATGGATAGCTCTTGAGCACATGCAAGTGAATAAGAGTCCATATCTCTTTATTTCTTTCCTTCCTTCTCGTACATAGAACGGTCCGAAGCAATCCATACCGCTGTACGTAAATGGAGCCGTAGCTTCCATCCTTTCTGGTGGTAGGTTGCCCATCTTTTGTTCCTGATTGCATCTCCTAAATTTTCTGCATTTGACGCATTTGTAAATTAATGATGACACACTACTGCTGCAGCCAATGATCCACACTCCATTAGCACGTATTTCGTTGACCGTCATCCCACGACCTTGGTGATGGATCTTTTCGTGAAAATGTTTGATGAGTAAGTTTGACACATGATGATTTTTTGGCAGGATAGCTGGGTGTTTGACATTTGGATGTAGTGATGCTCCAGTCAGTCGCCCTCCTACTCTCAGGACATTGCAGTTATCGATGAAAGGACTTAACTTATGAAGCTTTGATTTTGTTGTTTTAACTTCTCCTTTGTGTTTTAGGGATTGGATTTCTTCACTGAAAGCTTCAGTTTGAACGGTTTGAATTATGAATTCTTCTGCATTCTTTCTCTCTTCTAGAGTAGTTGTTTCATTGGACACTTTTGTTTTGTTCTTTATATGCTTTGCCAAGCGTTTTAGTCTTGCTATAGCCTTTACCAATCTCTTCCAATCTGAGAAATTTTGCATTCGACTTGAAATTGATTTCACTTCCTTTGTTTTGATTGTGTAAACTTGTGACATTTTTAGTTCTGGATCTTTATTGTCGATCTCTTTGACTTTGTCCTCCTCCTTAGGAAGTTCCTTCTGCCATAAGAAACTTGGTCCAGAGAACCAGTTTGATTCGACCAGTTCTTTTGTCATAACTCCGCGAGATGCATGGTCGGCAGGATTTTGTTCAGAAGAAACATAACGCCATTGACTTGGATCAGTGCTTGATCTGATTCGCTGAATGCGATTTGCCACGAATACATGAAATCGTCTTGCATCGTTGTAGATGTAACCAAGAACAACCTTGGAGTCAGTCCAAAAGTATTCTTGAAGACCTTCAATCTCTAACTCTCTCTTTAGGAAGCAAGCAGTTCTTGTAGCTACAACCGCAGCAGAAAGCTCGAGTCTTGGAATAGTTGTCACCTTGGTTGGAGCGACTCTTGATTTGCCCATTACCAGGGTACAGTGCACTTCTCCAGACTTAGTTACAGCTCTAAGGTATGAGCATACTCCGTAACCGGAAATACTGGCATCAGAAAAACTGTGTAGCTCATATTGCTGAATGTCCATAAACGATTTTGGCACATAACAACGTGATATTTTGATTGAGGACAGGTTGAGGAGGTCTCGTAGCCAGGCCTCCCAGTGCGGCTTGAGGTCATCTGGAAGCGGTTCGTCCCAGTCCAACTTGTCTTGACACATCCTTTGAAGGATTCTCTTCCCAACGAGAATGTAAGGAGCGAGAAATCCCAGAGGATCGAAAATTGAGGCTACTGTAGATAGTACTCCTCTTCTAGTGCATGGATTTTCTTTCACCATGATTCTGAAGTGAAATGTGTCAGATGTCACACACCACTGGACTCCTAAAGCCCTTTGGATTTTTGGCTCTCCCAAAGCCAGGTCCAAATCAGTAGCTCCTTCTGCACATTCCTCTTCAGGAATAGAGGCAAGCACTTCCTTGCTGTTGCTGATGAATTTGTGCAGGTGTAGCTTTCCAGAGTTACACAGATCTCTAGCTTCTTGTACAAGCTTGATGGCTTCTTCTTCGGAATGAACGCTAGCCAAGCCATCGTCCACATAGAAGTTGCGTTGTATGAACTTAATGGCAGCTTGACTGAACTTGTCTTTACCTTGTACAGCTAGATGTTTAAATCCAAAATTTGCGCATCCAGGTGAGGACGCAGCTCCGAATAGATGGACTGTCATACGAAACACCGATGGTGGCTTGTCCATATTACCTTCCTCCCACCATAGGAATCTGAGGTAATCCCGATCTTCAGCGACAACTTGAAATTGGTGGAACATACGTTCCACGTCGCACATAAAAGCCACTTGTCCTTTTCTGAAGCGACACAGAACTCCAACAAGAGTATTTGTGAGGTCAGGTCCGCTCAGAAGATGTTCGTTGAGAGATGTATTATGGAATTTCGCTGAGCAATCAAAGACTACACGGATCCTTCCTGGTTTTTGAGGATGGTAAATGCCATGATGAGGGATATACCAGACTGGTTCTTTGTTTATCTCCATCTCTGGCACCCTTTCTGCATCACCCCTCTTTATTATGTCCTGCATGAATGCCACATAGTCTTTGAAGTAGCTGTCATCCTTTCTCAAACGCTTCTCCAGACACTTTAACCTATATTCTGCACAAAGTCTGTTGTTTGGAAGATTAGGCCTTTCTTCCTTAAAGGGTAATGGCATTTCGAAATGTCCATTTTCCTTTTGCTTTATGCCTTCCTTGACTTTTTCCAAAAACTTCAAGTCTTCTTGTGACAAGGAATCTTCCTCAGTGGTCTTTTCAATAAAGTCCATTTCAAGCACTTTGATAATTTCAGCTGGAGAGATTACTTCTGAAACTTTGTTTCTGCTTACAAAGTGGACTTCATCCTTTAGTTGGTGAAACTCTTCAACAGCTGGCAAGACTTGTTTTACGATTATGTGATGACTGACACCAATTTCGTCTTCAAACTCGCCTTCAGAGTGGTTATAGCCAATAATGCTCCATCCTAGAGCAGATTTCTGTCCAAAAGGCTGGTCTCTTTCTCCGCTAACCACTTCAATGGGCAGTAAAGCCTGTGGGCAATTATAGCCAATTAGTAATGCAACTTCACAGTCAAGTTCAGGCGCCATCTCTTTCGCTAGATGTTTCAGGTGAGACCAGTCCTCTGCCGTCTTGCTTGTGGGAATATGGGATCT